AATGCATTGAAGGAGGATTTCCATTGATCTATATCTGGAGGACATGTACAGGCGCCTGAGCTCTCTCTGGTCTGGTTCAGGAGCATCCCCAGTGCCCAGTTCTCACAATGACAGCCTACTTACCAGCCTTTGAAGTGAGAGAGCCACCATACCTGGGCTGCGTGTGAGACAAGTTACAGGAAGAAAAGTAAAGGAAATTTCTCTTACCAGATATGGCTGTGAAAGTTGTATGACATTTTAATAAACTTTACATAAAATTAATACACTAAGAGATTAATAAAATTTGTTAAATTCGTATATTTTAAAAAGAGATTTTGTGGCTGGCGCCGCAGCTCACTAGGCTAATCCTCAGCCTGCGGCGCTGGCACCCCGGGTTCTAGTCCCGGTCAGGGTGCCGGATTCTGTCCCGGTTGCCCCTCTTCCAGGCCAGCTCTCTGCTGTGGCCCGGGAGTGCAGTGGAGGATGGCCCAAGTCCTTGGGCCCTGCACCCGCATGGGAGACCAGGAGAGGCACCTGGCTCCTGGCTTCAGATCAGCGCAGCACACTGGCCATAGCGGCCATTGGGAGGTGAACCAACGGAAAAGGAAGACCTTTCTCTCTGTCTCATTGTCCACTCTGCCTGTCAAAAAAAAAAAAAAAAGATTTTGTAAATTTCTCCTATGGGTAGCAAATCAACCATGTGAATTGATTTGACCAATAATATAGATTAATTTGTAAAAGTAGAAAATAATGTTCCTAAATTATTTTTGATAAAACTTGATGAAAAAATAAACTTGAGGATATCAGGCTTCCTAGAGAGATGGCCCTTTGTAATCTCCTGGATTACCGTTTGACAAAGCAGTGACCTGCTCTAGGACGTAGATACTATGTCATTTGCAGAATCAGTGGTCTGTGGAGCTTTTTTGCACTGCTGCATACAAGTGGTGTGTTCACAGAGGTGGTACAGGAAGCTGAAGGGGCTGTGCAATCTTCAGCTGGTAGGTTGTATTTAACTTAGTTTGTCTTCCATCTAGAAAGCATGTTCAAACACAAATGAGAGTGACTTTGTAATAGGAATAACCTTGAATCCAGTCTATTTTATAGTTACAAAGAAAGTTTTTAAAAGAGGTGGTTGGACCATTATAGTTAACGTGGAATATCTTAAGGGTATATTCTTAAGATTTACACACTCACGGAACTCTGGCTAATTCTCTGCCACCAATGAGTGATGTTGGAAGTGGGAAGAAGGGAAGCTTATAGGGGATCCAGCTGGGATGGAGAGGAAGGGAAAGTAACAGAGGCAGGAGAGCATGAGAGGCAGAGGGAATGTCTTCTCCAGCAGAAATGCCGGTACTGGACTGTCTCCCATAGCAGGTAGAAACTTCGTAAAAATGGTGGTCCTTTGACCCTGCCATTCTGTCCTGTAGTGTCATTTATTGTATCCATGTGTATTAGAAACTTTGCAGGATGATCTTATAATTTTTGCTTTAAAAACATTAAAATGGGGATCAACTACCTAAATAGAAGACCAGAAACTATGAAATTACCAGAAGAAACATAGGGAGAAACACTTCAAGACACTCGATAGGCTGCCATGTTTTCAGTAAGACCCCAGAAGTACAGGCAGCAAAAGTGAAACTAGACAGTGGGGTTTTATCAAATTCAGGAGCTTCGGTACGGCAAAGGAGATAATCAGCAGAGTGAAGAGACATCCAACAATATGAGAAGATATGGGAAGTTCCTTAGCTGACAAAGGTTTAACATCCAGAATATGTCAGGGGCTCAAAAATTCAGTAACAGCAACCAAAAAAGACAACCAATCCTGTTAGGAAATGGGCAAAGAATTCCCAGAAGAAAAAATACAAATGGCGCGCACACGTGTGTGTGTGTGTGTATGAAAAATTGCTCCATATCTCTAGCTACCATAATGAGAAATCCCCTCATGCCTGCTAGAATGGCTGTGACCAAGCAGGCAGAGGGTAACAAGTGCTGATTGTGGAGAAAGGGAGCTCTCACACACCGCTGGTGGGAATGTAAAGCAGTGCAGACACTGTGGAAAGCAGTTTGGGGATTTCTTTAGAAACTAGAACCAGCTTGCCAGGTGATCCAGCCCTCCTCCTACGTATATCTATATCCAACAGACATGAAATCATCGTATGTCCATGAAGTCACTGTATCGTAGCAGCACTGTTCACAGTAGCCAAGATATGGAATCAAACAAGGTGTGCATCAAGAGATGAATGGATAAAGAAGATGTAGTATGTATACACACAGGAACAGCGTTCAGCCATTACAAAGGTGAAATCCTGTCATTTGCAGCAAGATGGGTGGAACTGGGAGACATCATGTTAAGTGAAATAAGCCAGACACAAAACAACAAATCCTGTTTTCCCTCATATGTGGGAGCTGAAGGAAACTCCGTCTGAACACAGAATGATGATTTCTAGAGGCAGGGAGGGGGTGGAGAAGGAGTTTGGGCACTGGGCACCACATCAGAGTGAGACTGAGGGTTAGGTTCCTAGTGCTTCACAGTGGAGACTACAGTTCACAGTAACCTAGTAGACAGTGTGAGCAAACAAAGAAGCTGCGTGCCTCCAACCACTAAGTTATGTAAAAAGGGGGGAAAGTTGATTACTCTCTGTGATCAGTGTGTGTTATTTGCATGTATGGAAATATCACACAGGCCCATAAATGTGTACAAGTACTAATAACCATTGTAAAAATAGGAAACATTAAATGCAAAGCACCCTGTCCATGACCGTTTCTGGTGCTCCTCCTTGTATCCTGGCCTTCGGCCTGAGCCACTCCCGTCAGCCCGTCTGGTGGTGCAGGTCGGCTGGCGATGAATGTGGAGTTCTCTTGTGTCTGAAGTGCCTTACTTCACCTTCGTTCTTGAAGAATAGTCTCCCTGGGTTTAGAATTCTGGGATGATGGATTTGTTTTCTCAGCACCGAAAAGATGTCATATCTCTTTCTCTAGTTATTTTAGTTTTGTTGTTTTTTTTTTTTTTTTTGAGAAGTTCATGGTCATTAAACTCATCCTTTCCCTGTACTTAGTAGTTTCTTCCCTCTGCTTTCAAAATTTTATCTGTGGTCTTCAGCAGTGAGACTGTGAAGTCCCTCGGCGTGTGTGTGTGACTGTATTGCGTCTATTGAACATTTGCCAGATTTCTTTAACCTGTGAATCCATGTTTTCATTAAACATTGTTAAAAATACATTTTCACAGTCCATTCATTCTCTCTTCTTCTGGAATTCTAAAGACCATATCTTAGACCTTTGATGTCCGCCCACAAGACAGAGTCTTTGTTCATTTTTTCAATCTTTTCTCATTCAGAGAGGATAATTTCCACTTATATATCTTTAAATTCACTAGTTCTTCCCTGCATAATTTCTCCTTTCTCCTATTAAGCACATCCAGTGGGATTTTTTTTTTTTTTAAGAATCTTTTTTCAGCTCTAGTTCTGTTTTGTTCTTTGAGTAGCTTCTACTTATCTGTTGAGATTTCTTTTCTTGTTCATTATAAGTATAGGGTTCTTTGTGTCACTGGGCCTAGTTATCAGCTACATTAAAGTCTGGTAATTCCAACTTGTGAGTGATTTTTGAGTTTGCTTCATTCTTTGAGCGTCTTCCCTCTGAAGAAAGGGTCACTGTGTGTGTCTCGTCTCAGGGAGCCTGCTTTGCATCTTGTACAAAGGATCTTCAAAAAGTTCATGGAATACGTGTACTAGGTGGGTTGCAAAAGTTTCTTTAGGTACAAAAAATTTACCTTTTAATTCCATTTCCTGTGACCCTTTGGAAGTGCCCCCTGTGTGTACTCAAAGTGTGTGGAAATTTGCCGGAGTGGGCAGTTAACATGTTTAGACCAAGAATGAAAGCTCGGGCCAGTGACAGGTGTCCCCTCAATCCTCCCCCACCCCCTCTGGTCGTCAGTTGAGTGCTTTGGGTATGTTGTTCTACCATTCAGCTAAGGGGTCAGCTAGAGACTTGGGAAGACTTCATACTCAGGGTCCGAGACTCTGATTTCTAGGACTCTCCTTTCCCAGATTCCCCTTCAACTTCTCACGGTGTGGATTGCCTATGCTTGGTCCTCTGATCAGGCCGAAAAACACAGCAAGTTTTCTACTACCAGTTAAGCTTCACTCACACTTACTGACTGGGATCTGCTCTTGGCTAAAAGCAGAAAACTCAATCTGTGTCGGTCCATTGTTCAAGATTTCAACTCTTGTTGGTTTTTTGTTTCATATCTTTTTGGCCAATCTGCTGGCTCTTATCCCCTCCTCAGAGCCTTCAGGTAGCTGTCTGCCTGTGGCTTGGGCAGGGTTTGTGGTTACCTGCAGGAGACTTGGTCTCCAGAGCTTATGCATCTATACCACAGGCAAATGTGTCCAGTGGAGATAGGAATTTTGAACCCATGATGCCATTTCTTACCTCAAGGAGAGAGATGAGTCTTGAACATTTGTAGTAGGAATTGCCTGTTTGCTATTTTTAAAGTTCTGCTAATTTAGATGTCTCTCAATCCATTCTGTAGTGCAGGTGTTTTTCTGTGTGTGTATTTTAATCACTTGAATGGGAATCACAGTGCTTGGCTTCCAGTCCCAGTCTTGATGAAAATTTGCCACCTAATTATTGTAACTACTAATCATTATACTATGAATAGCTAATTGTTATGACTAGATCATTGTTATTTATATTTAGGGGTCATGTGGCTCTTTTCTTTTTACATTCTGTAGTCTTGTATTTATTTAATATAAGTGCCTTGAAGTCCTAGTGTTAACTCACTCATTTCATGGGACTCGTGGTTGGTTCTGTATGTTACGTGGTAGAAAGGCTATCCCGCCCCTGGAAGATGTGGTATTTCTATTTTTCTTTTTAGATCTCAGGTTGCCTTATAAATAGTGCTCCATTACTGCTCTATGCAACAGTTTTTCTCAGGCACAAGTTGTTTCATTTAAAAACAATAACAAGATAATTTTATGTTTAACATCCCACTGAAAATGATTTTTTCTTTCTTTGTCTCTTAGGAAAAAGTGCTGTGAAGGGTACAAATTTGTTCTTGGACAGTGTGTCCCTGAAGGTATGTAGCATAGAAGACGCCTCTCCACGTTCCCCATGGTTCATCATTGATAGACATCTGTACAGTTCACGTGTGTGTGGAATTCAGGTGTGAGCCTGTCTGTGTCTAATTATCTGTGCATCTTTGTGGTTCTGTTGGGGGCAGTTAATTGTTACCATTTAGTTACAGACAGTATGCTCTGTTAGAAGCATTGCATTATGTGTGTATATACGGTAAGTTCGTACATTTCAAGTTTTATGTTTAGCAGATTCTAACCTAGGTGACAATCCCTAATGAGTGCTTCATCCACGATCAGAACACAGCCCCCTCCCTGTCCCCTCTCTGTCTTTCTCTCCCTGCTTTAACAGCTGTGTTTTTCAGCCCCTTTCCAGAACCGTCAACAAATACTTGAGTGCTGATCCCAGCACAGAAGGTCCAGAGAGATGCACCCAACCCTCCTAATGTGTGCATTCAGAGTGGACAGGCTGTGCAGCACATAGAATCAGGTCTGAATTCCCACCCTGCCTCTACCTCCCACGAGCTGTGACCTGGGGCAGGTTACTTTCTAAACCTCAGTTTTTTGTTTGTTTGTTTTTTATTTTTGATAGGCAGAGTGGACAGTGAGAGAGAGAGACAGAGAGAGAAAGGTCTTCCTTTGCCGTTGGTTCACCCTCCAATGGCCGCCGCTGCAGCCGGCGCACCGCACTGATCCGATGGCAGGAGCCAGGATCCAGGTGCTTTTCCTGGTCTCCCATGGGGTCCAGGGCCCAAGCACCTGGGCCATCCTCCACTGCACTCCCTGGCCACAGCAGAGAGCTGGCCTGGAAGAGGGGCAACCGGGACAGAATCTGGCGCCCCAACCGGGACTAGAACCCGGTGTGCCGGCGCCACAAGGTGGAGGATTAGCCTATTGAGCCATGGCGCCGGCTCTAAACCTCAGTTTTTACAAGCCAGCGTTAGTGCTTGGGCCAGGTGCTGGTTGTAGGGATTTTGCCCCATATAGAGTATGCACACATGCAGTACAGATGTGCACTTCTGCAAGGGGGCGCATGGCATGAAGTAGGGCCAGGGCAGTCAGAGGTGGCCTCAGGAAGGAACGGAGCCTTGTGCTGGCTTCTCAAGACCACCAGGACTTCGACTAACAGGAAGAAGAGAGCTGCAGAAACTGCCACATGTGTAGACAGCATGGGATTACTTTGCCGTGGGAAGGAAGGCGAAATAGTTTCCTTCAGGGTTGCCCAACATGCCTGTTCTCTACAGAGGATCTGGGGCCCAGCCCAGATAATCTGTTGCATTATCTCATGGAATGTAATTTCTTGATGAGTCAGAAAGAGTCGAATCCTTCCTGTGTATGGCTTTCTTTAGTGAAAGGATGGAAGTGTTCATTAAATCACGGCTGTGACCTTTGAGAAAGCTGCTATGGGCCATTGGAGGGTGAACCAACAGCAAAGGAAGACCTTTCTCTCTGTCTCTCTCTCACTGTCCACCCTGCCTGTAAAAAAAAAAAAAAAAGCTGCTATGGGAAGGCTGATTAGGCAACTGCACCCCATGTGATGGTTGGCATGGCCTCGGGCCTCTCCGGGCTGCATTTCTCTCTGCCAGTCCATTCTGCTGGTTAGAGAATGGTGAGGGGGAAAACCACAGAAGTCCAAAGAATTGCATTCTCTTACAGGCTAGCCTTTCTCAGGCACCAGCTGTGTCCTCGATGTTGGCAGATAACAACGAACATGAAATTTAGGCCAATCAGTTTACCACCCTAACTCAAGACCTTGCCCAACCTAATTAAAAACATGCTATGTGCGTATCACAGACTTAGGGTTTCTTTAAATTTTAAGTAATTTGGTTTCCAGCATCTGAGTCTAAAACCAGCCTTGTGAACCCTTCACGTGGGGCCGCAGCGTGGAGATTGATCTGACCCAGGAAGAGTGGTCTCAGATGCTGAGAATGGCTTTGCCGTAACGGACTCTGCCGACTTGTTTTTCTTGTTTCCTCTGTGGGAATATGCCAGTGAGTCAGTGATCATTTCTTGTATTAAAGAGATCTTTAATCATAAAGTTTCTATCACCCAAGAATGCAAAGTACAAGTGTAGGATTCCAGAAAAGATTGCTTCTTAGGGTTCTGCAGAGAAAGACAGCCAGTAGAGGGTGTGTGTGTGTGTGTGTGTGTGTGTGTAGAGAGAGGGGGAGAGGAGGGAGGAGATTGATTTTAAGGGATCAGTCTACAGCAATACTACCCTGAACATGCCCAGTCTCGTCTGATCTCGGAAGCTAAGCAGGGTCTGGCCTGGTTAGTACTTGGATGGGAGATTTTAAGGGATTGTGGATTGTGGAGATGTGAATCCAAAATCTTTGGGGCAGACTTGAGCTGCAGCTCTTCCAGGGTCTGCAGTCTGTCTGCAGGCAGAAGTGGCTCTTCCTTGGGGGCGGGGGGGGGTTGCTTACTAATGCCTTCAGTTGACTGCAAGAGGGCCACCCACCTTATGGTAAGTTGTCTGTTCCACTCCAGGTCCACTGATTTGTTAATGCCATATGAAAAATACCTTTGCAGAAACATCTAGAATAATGTATGGCCAAACATTTGGGGACTTTGGCCTAGTGCAATTGGCGTGTATAATTAACTATCACAGAGGCACCTCTTGTTAACCTGATATCCATCTCTAAACCACACAGAGTCGCCTTTCACCTAACAGGACACAACTGTCCTGCTGTATGCACACAGCAGGCTTTTCCCAGAAAAGGAGGCAAAGCCCTTGGAAGATGCTTGCTCTTCTCTGTGAGGTGCTGTGACTTAAATACTGTGATGTGAAGTTAGCAACACATATATCCTGTGATACAAAGTCCATGCCTCGTAAGATGTTTGAGTGGATAGGAGAAGAAAGAAGATACCTGGGCACACATACACACATATTCATAAGAAAATAAGGAAGAAACAATCAGTATAGTTCCAGTCCTGTAACTGGCTCACAGGCAAAGCTGATGTTCCTAATGACTTCCTCTTCCTACCCATATCTTGTGGACTTTGTCCTCAGCAAGCACCTCGCCTGATTGTGGTGAGGGTGAGGGACCCAAGGCTTGTGAAAGGGTCTAAGACGTTGGTCCTGTCTGAACTGGGGGGTTGTCGATTTGTTGTTTCCCTGGGCTTCAGTCACAGGGTGGAATGTTAGTTCTCCATGGAGTAGCCAGACAATTTGCCCTTGATGGTTACAATCAATCATCCCTGGCTAGCATGCTGACTGTTGCCTTTGCCTGTTGATTCGGGGGCACGGGAGCCCACAGTGGCCAGAGAGCAGTCTTCACTTTCAGTTCAGTGGAATCAGTGTTGACTCATTGCTTCCACAAGAATGAAGAACTAGAGGCCAGCAGAGCATAACGTTGTGGGAACACAAAGCAAGAACATTGCTATGGCTCAGTAGGGGCAATAGCGAGTGGAAACACTCCTTTTTCCACTCCTGGTCTTGGGAATCCTGGTTGTGGAAGAAACCATACTATCTGAAGGATCTTCAAGAGTTTCATTTTTTAAAAAATGTGTTATGAAAAAAACTGCATGGGTTTCAAATTTTTTGCTCCCAAACTTTAAGTCCATTTTTTCACAAATTGTAGATGCTGGTTTGGAGCATCTGCAGAATCATGATTAACCTTGACCCAGAACGCATATTTGAGTACTGGTGGCCTTGCCAAGTTGACACACAGAATTAGCCATTGCAAATGGCATCGACTAGAGTTTCTAAGCAAATATGATAATAGTATCTGGAAGTTGCAGGTTTGTTTTAAAGCAATGCTGCTTCATCTTGGTTGCTGTAAGTGACATGTGGCCACATCTGATTCCACCTGATGCTGCAAGTCAAATTGGCACATGGCCATGCCCCTCCATTTCAGTACCACCTCTGGCCCCTTTCCAGAGAAAGTTTACTGACCTGTGCAGTAAATGATATTTGATTGGCCAGGTGACAGGGTGATCTAATTTATTCTAGTTCAACAACTATGAATTGAGCATAAACTAGGTGGGGTGGGGGGCAGAGTTTGCTGGTTACTCTAGGGAATGGAGTCCATTCTCAGAAGCCAAACCATCATGAGAACTAACAGCAAAAGAAATAGAAGACCAGATCAAGCTTTTCCTATATGTCAGATACTGTGCTTAATGCATCACCCAATGTCATCTTCATAAGGACCACAGGGGCGGGGGCTGGCATCATGGCACAGCAGGTTAAACCACCATATGCATCACCAGCATCCTGTATCACAACACTGGTTCAAGTCCCAGCTGCTCTGCTTCCATTCCAGCTCCCTGCTAATGCACCTGGGAAGGCAGCAATAGGTGGCCCGAGAGCTTGGGCCCCTACCACCAATCTAGGAGATCAGTATGGAGTTCTGGGCTCCTGGCTTCCACCTGGCCCAGCCCCAACCATTGTGGCCATTTGGGGAGTGAACCATCAGATGGAAGATACTCATTCTCTCCCCTCCCTCCCCCTCCTTCCCTCTTTCCCTCCTTCTTTCCCTCACCCCCCCCCCATGTCACCTATGCCTTTCAAATAAATCTTTTAAAAAAGATACTGGGATGGAGATGGGTATTAATGCATGTTACCCTATCTTACAGGTGTGGAAATTTAGACTTAAACACCTGAAATTGCAGGGATGGTGGCTGGGATGAGGCAAAACTTATGAGTGGAAGAAAGAGCGCTGTGGCTACTTACAAGCACTTACAGGCCAAACTCGGGCAGGAGACCAAGGAGGGCTGTTAAAAGGGCTGATATTTTGGCATTGAAATATGGCATTGGAAACCATGTATCCAAGGGTATAAAGTGTTGAGAGTAAAGATAGAGGGGTTCGTTTGGTGTCCCAAGAGCTGAAAATAGAATAAACAAAATCGCAGGAGACGGCATTGCTTCAATGTCAGAAACTCATGAATGAGCCTTCAGGTTGGAAGAACCTCCAGTGTTAACAATTGCAGACCCCAAAGCCAATAGCCTTTTGCATTCCATGTGGATTGGAACAGAGTTCAGAGGTTCTCTGAGCACGCAGGCACCCAAGGCAGCACTGCACCCCTCACGGTGCAGAGTGGGTTTAAGGGGGAAGACTCTTGGAATGAGGATTCTGTTGATGGAGGTGGTTCTAAAGATCTGAGTTGGAAGGGCACCACGGGAATAAGAGGGTAGCAAATAGACAAATGGTGAAGGTTAAAGCCACAGGTCTGAAAGCCGACGGGCATCCCAGAGGGTTGAAAATATTAGCCTCCATAAGCCCCACAGAGTGGGGGTGGTCACAGCAGCGGTAAGCCTAGGGGACATGAGAAAGGGAGCTGTGGAACAGGTGGCAGGGAAGTGGGAGGTAGCATAGCAGCGTGGGAGAGGCGTGGCCTCAGCCGGCAGCAAGGGAACTGAGGAACAGCCTGGCTCAGACCAAACAAGTAGGGAGCAAGAAAGCCAAGGATGCGGGAGACGTAGGGGTGGAAGGGTGTCAGAAAACACAAGGGTTAACTAAAATTTTGTGTAGCAAGTCCGCCTCTCGGATCTTGTCCTCTCTCCCACACAACATCCCCCTCCCACAGCCGGGCAGAACACCAGAGAGGGAGATTGCCCAGGGAGGCTAAGCCAGAGACTCCCTGGAGGAGTGGAGGGCAGCAGTGTGGGGGTAGTAAGGGTAGCCACAAGGCTAAATGCTTCTCTTCCACGTCTGGAAACCAACAGAGGAGTTAAAATATGAGGAAAGGAGCCATATGATTTGGCTCTCAAGAGGTGAGAAGGTAAATATTTTAAAAGCTCGGGCAGAATGTTTGGGCACAGTGGCTCAGGGGAGCAGCCGTGGCGGGAGGCTGGGGACAGCTCTTTCCCAGGAAAGACCCTGTTGGGCAGTACCGTCTGCACAAGTGCTGTTCGTGGGCTTTTCTGCCCTTGTCCATCTCGCTGCATTTGCTGCAGGCTGATGATGGCAGAACAGGGCAGCTCGTGGCCAGTCTCACTGAGCCTTCTCTTTAGCAAAAGGAGCAGAAGACATTGGCTGCGGCCACCGCTGTGGCATAGAAGGTTAAGCCTCCACCTGCAGTGCCAGCATCCCATATGGGCACTGGTCCAAGTCCCAGTTGCTCCATTTCCAATCCCGCTCCCTGCTAATGCACCTGGGAGGCCTGGAGGCACCTGGCCTGGCCCAACCCTGGTTGTTGCAAGCATTTGGGGAATGAACCAGCAGATGGAAGATCCCTCTCCCTCCCCCTCCCCCTCCCTCCATTTCAAATAAATAAATCTTTAAAAAAGACATTGGTTGTCTAAAGCTAATGCTTAGTTGATAAAAACATGTAACCTGAGGTCTGGAGCCACAGTGTTGGGGCAGTTTCCAAGTCACCATGAGAGTGACTTGTCACACGGACCTTGCCTCCATCAGAGGCCGCCAGCCCACCCATTCACCTGCCTACAGAGTAGAACAAAGCCAGACTCTGGGCGTCCAAGGAGCGTTATCTGCCAGTTCCCAGAGGCTCAGTAAATCCCGGTTGATAAGAACCAGGAGGAGCAAATGCCCTCTTTCAGTAGCAGATCATCCACCTCAGTCTGCAGGTGCAGGGTTGCGAGTGATCTGTAGCCATTCGGCTTCCCCAAACCCGTCTCAGCATGTGGAATCATGCGGATTTTAGGCCAGTGAGCATGCCTAAAATCACTCATGCGGGCAGACACCATGGCATGGGAGGCCAAGCCTCCACCTGCAGTGTCAGCATCCCATATGGGTGCCAGTTGGAGCCCCTGCTGCTCCACTTCCAATCCATCTCTCCACATTAGCACCTAGGAAACGGGAGGATAGCCTAAGACCTTGGGCCCCTGAACCCACGCGGAAGACCTGGAAGAAGCTCCTGGCTCCTGGCTTTGGATCTGCTCAGCTCTGGCTGTTGCAGCCACTGGGGAGTGAACCAGCAGATGGAAGATCTCTTTCTCTATTTCAAATAAATCATTTTTAAAAATCACCCTTGCACAAAAGCGTCCGCTCTCCAATAGCACTCACTCTTTTCTGTTCCGAAACCTCCCTTGTGTGTGTCTGAAGCCACCTGATTCCCAGCCCGCCCTCCTGCATTGTGACATCAGGGCTGGACTCTCTCTGCGGTCCTGTGGTAGGAGTTCCCTGTCTCGGCAGCAGCCAGTGAAAAAGACCAGATCCCCAGGGACTGCTTTGGAGCTGGGTCTGCAGAGCTGCCATTGCTCTCTGGGTGGTGACCGAGCCTTCAGGACAATGTGGTGACCTGGAGGGAAGAGCACAGTGAGGTTTGCTTCTCCCCACGGCCACACAACAGATTCAGGTTCCCGCTGTGGTTTTGGAAGGCACCCCCACAGCCTGCAGGGTTAATGCTCCTCTGCCCGTAGCCGTGAGTGGCGTGCAGCCCAGAAAGTGTTCCAGACCAGGGCCAGGTGACCAGACCGCCTCCTGGGATTAATGTGAGCGCCCCCCATCCCCTTTTCTTTTTCAGATTACGACGTTTGTTCCGAAGCTCCCTGCGAGCAGCAGTGCACGGATAACTTCGGCCGAGTGCTGTGTACCTGTTACCCGGGTTACCGATACGACCGGGAGAGACACCGCAGGCGGGAGAAGCCCTACTGCCTGGGTGCGTTGGGAATGCACGTTCTCTCCCAGCTCCCACAGGCGTGTCTTGCTAGGGTGGCTCTGTCCTCGGTTGGACCTTCCCCTTCCGCAGGGCCAGACTGGGGCAGCTGCTTTGGTCTTTGATTCCTGGCTTGTGGATGGAGCAGTGTTTGGTACTGTTCTACAGCTTCCTCATTCCCCTGCAACACAGGTACTAAACTGTGTCCCAGGAAGTCTTAGAGCCGGAACAGTTAGAGCCCAGTTGGTGGTCCAATATAAATGCAGGGAAGAAGGAAAATCATCACACGTAACCTGGAAAACTCTGGAAAAGACATAGTTAGAAGCACACTAATGCAAAAACAAGAATAAGCCATTTCACAGGAGATGACTTGGAAAGGGAAGCGTCTATGTGCACATGTTGGAAGTGAGTCCAGGGGAACAGGGACTCATGGCCCCTCTTGCAGAGAGCGTGGGCCACTCTGCACAGTGCAGGGCCCAGGGCCCAAGTGCTGGCCACCTGGGCCGCAGCTGAACAGACAACACCATCAGCAGCCCTCAGCTCATTCCCTTTATCCTCATTGGGTGAGTTTTCCTGGCCCTGCACTCAGTGGGGTTCCCAGGTAAATTCGTGGCCAGTTGTCCTTGGGAACCGTGTGTTTAAAAGTATGGTCAGCCCATGGCTAACCTGTCTCTGAAGTTGTGACACAGCAGACTAAACCACCACGTGGGATGCTCACATCCCAAATCAAAGTGCCTGCTTTGAGTCCTGGCTACTCTGCACTTCTCATCCAGCTTCCCACTAATGCATCTGGGAGGTGGTACATGATGGCTCGAATACTTGGATTCCTGCCAGCCTTGTGGGAAACCTGGATGGAGTTCCTGGCTTCTTTCTTCAGTTTGGCCCAGCCTCAGCTATTGGGGCATTTTGGGAGTAAACCACTGAGTAGAAGAAATCCCTCTTCTCCCCCTCCCTCCCCCACTCCCTCCCCTCCTCCCTCCCTCTCCCCTCCTCCCTCTTCTAAAGAACATAAAGTAAGAGTCCTGGCTTCCCCTGTGCACCCACGGAGTCACGGCACTGAGGATGAGTGTGGAGATAGCGGTAGGCTCAGTGACAGAGGAGCCTCATAGACCCATGTGGAAACGTCCTGACAACTCTGTTGCCTCTCTGGACAACACAGACAGTTTCACCCAGAGATATAGGGTGGGGACAGGGGGAAAGACCATCAGCCAGAGGCATTGCAGAGGAGGGGCCAGTGATGACATTGGTGTACAGATGGCGTAGCACCTACTGTCAGGGCAACAGCCAATAGAGTGTGCTCATCTGGGGACACCAGGGCCCGTCAGGGTTGGGTCCTTGGCAGCTTGTCCAGGGAGTGGCTGGGAAGTTGAGCCTGTCTTCAAGTTGAGGACTGGGCTCTGTCTGCCCACCACATGTGTGCAGTCTGGGGCACTGCGTGCTGTTCCCCCACACTCTTCAAGCCAATGATGAATGCTGGGCTTGGCTCCACCTCTCCTCCCGCAGTGGGAAATGTCTTTGTTTCCATCTGGAGCAGAGGGAGCAAGTATGTGATGTGCACAGTTAGCTCTGATCTGAATGCTGCTGCTTAGACGGCTCGGGGCTCATGTCCACAGCTCCTAGGGCTGTATCTTCAGGTTGCTGGAGAAGTAGAGACTTCCTGGGGAGAACTCTCCCCTAAGCTATTAGAACTGCTTTCTTTTATCAGAAGTAGTTTTTCCCAGGTGTCCCCATGTCTTGTAATCAGGAAGGAGCCATTCCTAAGTGACCTTTGGATCACTGGCACACTGTTTGGAACCTACAGTCATAAAAGGAGATTTAAAATCCTTTAGCAAGGGCCAGCATTGTGGCACAGCAGGTTAAGACACTGCTTGGGGCCGGCGCCGTGGCTCACTAGGCTAATCCTCCGCCTAGCGGCGCCGGCACAGCAGGTTCTAGTCCCGGTCAGGGCACCGGATTCTGTCCCGGTTGCCCTTCTTCCAGGCCAGCTCTCTGCTGTGGCCAGGGAGTGCAGTGGAGGATGGCCCAAGTGCTTGGGCCCTGCACCCCATGGGAGACCAGGATAAGTACCTGGCTCCTGCCATCGGATCAGCGCAGTGCGCCGGCCGCAGCGTGCTGGCTGCGGCGGCCGTTGGAGGGTGAACCAATGGCAAAGGAAAACCTTTCTCTCTGTCTCTCTCTCACTGTCCACTCTGCCTGTCAAAAAATAAAAAAAAAAAAAGACACTGCCTGGGATGCCAGTTCAAGTCCTGGCTGCTTGGCTTCTGATCCAGCTCCCTGCTTTCCCTGGGAAAGCAGCAGAAGATGGCCCCAGTGCTTGGGCTCCCATACCTATGTGGGAGACTGGGTTGGAGTTCCATGTTCCTAGCTTATCTATGGCCCAGTCCTGGCTGTTGCGGCCATTTGGGGAGTGAATTAGTGTATGGAAGATTCTCTCTTTCTCTGTGTGTCCCTTTCTCTGTCACTCTTTCAAATAAAAGTCTTAAAAAAAAAAGCCATTACTATACTAGGGTACTTGCCCCCCCACCCCACCATGCCCAGAAGGGGAAAAAAATAAAGTTGGCTCCTCCAAGGGTGTTGCCGCTGGGTTACCTCAAGCAGAGCAGGTGAGACCCCAGGGGCAGGCCTCACTGTCACTGCTCTCTAGTGAGATCTCTGCAGGTCGGCAGCACCTGTGCCACTGGTCTGCCCGTCACCTGGTCACGCCGCCCTTGGAGCCACCTCCAGCCTGGCCCACGTGTCCAGTGCCTACTTTATTCAAGGCCTCCCTGCTCCAGATCTGGCAGTGTCCCTGGCAGACAGAAACGGAAGGGCCAAGACCAGCGTCCTCTGTTGGGCTGGAAGTGAATTCTCTGCGACGGGGTATTCTCTGCGTTTGGTCTCAAACAGATATCGATGAGTGCGCCAGCAGCAATGAGACGCTCTGCGCGCACATCTGCGTCAACACTGCGGGCAGCTACCGCTGCGAGTGCCAAGAGGGCTACGTCCGCGAAGATGACGGCAGGACGTGCACCAAGTACCCCAACGACACCGGTGAGTGGGCAGTGTCCCCAGGGATACCAATGTCTCTACTGGATAGAGATGGCCCCTCAGGGTCTTCCATGTCACACAGATAGAATTACTTAGTTGTGTGTATTAGTAATATATAGACATGTATAATGCATAGTATACTCTCATACATATTTCTTATATAAGATTTCTGAGTACTTAGGTATCATGTAAAATATTGCATGTTATATATGTGCATTATATGTACATTATATATATATATACACACTTAAATACTATGTATTCTATGTAACAGAAATAACACATAAATGCACCTAGCATGCAATAGCTCGGGGATCACTGGGCAGGCAGGGGAACTTGCATGGATGGGATGTGGGGCGTGGGTAGGAGAAGATGAGTTCAGACTCTGAAAGTGGGATGGTGCACCTGATGCCGTGAGGTGCCAGCCGGTGTGCACCAGAGGCAGTGTTGCACACTGCCAGGGTATTGGAGAGATGAGTAGGGCTTCGTTAAGTGCTTACCCGAACCCAAGATGTGCAGAGAAGAGGCCAGAGGCACTGTGTTCCCTCAGAGAAAGCAGGCTGAAATATAAATTTGAAACATTCCCATGTAAGGTAACAATCCCCATTAGGGCTATCCCGGCCCCAGTGCATGCCCTGTGCCTGTCCATGAACTATTTATCTCACTCGTGAGTGAATAAAAACAGAAATTGAGAGTGTTTAGAAATTTTTATACCAAATTGACAGAGGAATTTTGTTTAAATCCAACAATTGATGGCTGTGTATTGTTTTGTTTTGCTAGCAAGGCACTTCTGTGTTTTGTAGAAGGGTCAGCCCGCAGCGGATGGGAGAGAGTGGCTGAACGCTGCCTCTTCCGCTCACCACCGACTCAGCTGAGACAGCATATCACTCAGGCGTGTGACCCGGCTGCTGGTTTGCTTGTTTGAGTTGGAGGAGGAAAGAAAAATGAGAGAAAGGAGGAAGGGGGTGGGGGGGAGATAAAGAGGCCTCACAACTGATGCTGGAGTCGGAGGGAATGCTTTGATGTGCAAAACGCCCTGCATTCGATGGTGAGGCAGCTCTGGTGATGTCAACCTGGGATGTCGGCCCACTGGAGCAGTCCTCAGGGCCCTCCAGCCGAAATAAACTTGAAAGCAGGATGAACTGGCCATGCACGGTTGGCAGGACGAGTTCCCTTAGAAGGCCTGAGGCCAGGTCCCACGTGATCTGGGCTCCGTCCCTAGTCATTTGGAGGAGGAGATGCTGGAACATTATGGAGGTTGGGGGACATGCTGGCTGGGCCTGGCCCGGCCCCAGGTGGAGAGAGGCTCTGAAGGTAGCTCACAGGGACCCAGCAATGCAGAGCCGCGAAGACGCCAGCCCCACCCTGACGCTCAGGAGAGGGTGATTCGTGGGTGCAGCTCCCTCCAGCTGAGGACAGCTAACAGCTGGGGTCCAGCTGCCTCCCCTGGGGAAATCTACAAAGCAACAGGCTGAGGGGCGACTGATTGAGTCACGAGGAAGCTGCCATATGTTGGAAGCAAAGGCAAAACTGCAGTTGGAGCCAGCTCTGGGTTGGGCAATGTGAGATCATTTGAATGAATTTCGGGGCTTGGTGACACTTTGGAAAAGCCTGAAGCATCTGGAGGCTGTCTGTCCAGGGGTGTGCGTGGAGCAAAGTGTGAATGGTTTCCTTGGCAGTAAGATGGGCAGGCCATGCTTTCTTGCATTGAAAATTAAAATCTCTATGTTGTGTCCCATGGTGGAGACAATGGGAGAGGGGCAGGGATGTGTCACTTGGTGTCTTAGATTATGAGCCTTACCGGAAGGAAGAATCTCATGGGAAAATGGAGTGCAGCCTTTTAACCACAGATGTGTCAATGCATAGGTCTGCAAGTAAGCTGCTCACTCCCTTTGGTTTTGGAGTTGGATTTCCAGCTGTTCTCTGGGCCTGGGGACGGCTCTGAGTTAGTGTAGTGATGTAGCTGCATGAGCCTGTGCCTCCACCTTCAGCACTGTGGGCCTCGCAATGGCCTGGAGAGATGATCTTATTGCATCTTTGACATTAGCAGTCCCTTGTGCTCAGTCTGTACTAGGACCACACACACCTGTTTCCTTCCCCGACAGATGAATTGTCCCTTAGAAAGATTTCCACGTTTCGGACAGGGTAAGTGAGGAAGAATGCCATTGAGGAGATGACCAGTGTGACTTCTCTGGTTGAAAATTCAATAAGCATTTTGCACAGTATGTTACAAGGGACGTATCTTTGAGACTTGGTTTTGTGACTTCTATAATAGCATTCGTCGTGGGTAAAGACAGATTGAGCTCAACCATTTGTTGCAGCCCTTCCCTGACATCGTGTTCTGCAGAACTCTGGGGTCCCGTGAGGTGTTGAACATTTCTTTCTCTGTCTGGGCCCGGTGCTCAGATGTTTGGAGAACTGTGTCTTACTGCACCTGCTGCTTAAAGACTGGCCATCCAAGTACCTTGAAAGGTCTGAGAGCATGTGTTTAGAAACATAAACTCTGATTAAGCCCACATTTCCCAAAAGTATTTCCTAGGAAGCCTACAGACATCTCAGGCAATGGTTCCTGAAAAACATGGCTTGGAAAATACCGACTTAGCCTCAAAGATCTTCAGCTCAGGCAGCCAGAATTGATGAGCTGTCTGGTCGACCCTCAGGCAAGGATGTTAGTAAGTACATGACACAGCTCAGGTGCGGAGGGGAGTGCGTTGCTGTGGACAGCACGGCGACTTATGGATGAAAACAAGACAGCGCCCCTCTGAATTCTGCAGTATGCAGAGATGGTCCGTCACAGCCACCCACAATGTCCTGGGAGGGAGGGAGCGATTGTCCGTGATGTATCGTCACTCCACTCCCTGCAAGGCTTAATCTCATGCTGGAATTCTTTCCTTTCCCTCCTTATCCTCCTCCTGATCCCAAGATACCAGCTACAAGTAGTTTTTACAAAAACAAAAAACTGGGGGCATAGCGGTTAGCTGCCAGCTGTAACACAGGCATCCCATACAAGTGCAGGTTCAAGTTCCAACTGTTCCCCTTCTGATCCTGCTCCCTGCTAATGTCCCTTGAAAAGCAGTGGAAGATGGCCTCTGCCACCCATGTGGGAGACCTGGATAGAGTTCCAGACTCGGGGTTTCAGCCTGGCCACTGGGGAATAAACCAACAGAAGGAAGACAGCTTCTCTGTGTGTGTCTCTGTCTCTGCCTCTCCCTGCAACTCTGCCTTTCAAATAAAGAAATAAACCTTAAAAAAATGACACAACTGTGCTCATCACACACCCCAGACAGCAGCCTTTCTCTGCAGTTAATTCTCAGTGTGTCACCGACCCTGGACACACCCTGTAGGCACAGACAATGATCATGCCTTTGGTTTTATGTTTTACTCAGAAAAACATTTCAACACCAATAGCCCGGGGTTGGGGAGGGAGGTATTGCGAGGAATGATTCATACACAGCATCAAATGAAGAGAGAGGACAGGGCCATTGAATGCCCTGAGCCCTGAAGTCACAATTCAGGGGACTGCAGTGTCTAGGGGGGCTGGGGTAGCCTTGATGATTTGGCAAAGGAAAGAAAAGGACCCTGGACTCATTTCTTTGAGAGCTTTGCTGCCCTGTGAGTTTCCCTGACTTGGAAGTCGGGAGAGCTGGTTCCGCAGCAGCTGGCCGGTCTCTGGGGTTGTTTCCTCACCTGTGGACAGGAAGGTAGCTCTGAGGGACCCTCTGACCCTCCCCCTGCAGTTCCCCAAGTTTGCTGTGATGCCCTGTGGCTCCCTGGCGATGCCTCATAGGCTCCCCCCAGGCTAGGACAGGGACTTGAAAGCTTATCCAGCTTCATCGGCCGGTGCCGCGGCTCACTAGGCTAATCCTCCGCCTTGCGGCGCCAGCACACCGGGTTCTAGTCCCGGTCGGGGCTCCAGATTCTGTCCTGGTTGCCCCTCTTCCAGGCCAGCTCTCTGTTGTGGCCAGGGAGTGCAGTGGAGGATGGCCCAAGTCCTTGGGCCCTGCACCCCATGGGAGACCAGGATAAGTACCTGGCTCCTGCCGTTGGGTCCGCGCGGTGCGCTGGTTGCAGCGCGCCAGCCACGGCGGCCATTGGAAGGTGAACCAACGGCAAAGGAAGACCTTTCTCTCTGTCTCTCTCACTGTCCACTCTGCCTGTCCAAAAAAAAAAAAAAAGCTTATCCAGCTTCAGTACCCTGTACACAGAGCCCTTGGGTCTCAGGGTCTGACCAGTGAGCAGTGACCGCCCCAGCCCTGCACCGGGCAGTAGGAGGTATTCAGGGCAGGAGAGTTCCAGGTGCTGCAGCATCAGAGGCAGAGCTGGGCACCGTCATCTCTGCTGGACTAATTCCTAAGCCCAAATCCCAACATCGCCCCTTTCCGTGGAAGTGCCTGGGTGTCCACAAGAGCCCCACAGTCGCCGCTGCCCCTCCTGATTCACCCCCCGTTTCTCGCTGCATGGTCTGGTGTCTGTGACGTTGAGGTTGAGGGGATTTAAAATGGAACAGGGCTGCTGAGGGAAGGGGCATGCACAGAGATACCCTCTGGTTGACAGGCTGCCACCCACCTGGCAGCACTAGCTATCTCAGGCACTCAGGAGCTTTGATTTTCTCCTTGGAACTGTAGCTGGAGCCAGCAGGGAGACACATTAAGGAAATGTAGGCTCCCTATTAATGGGCTTGTTGGTGTTCTTCTGATAACGTGACCATGACCCTGAATGTCACTCCTCATGGGTTAGACTGTCAGATGGCCAGGTGTTTCATCTCACTCTCTGGCTGCACTCACAGATCAATGGCTCTCAGCCTCCGGATCACCTAGGGGGGTTTTGAAAATGCTGATGCTGTTGCCTTCCCAACCCCAGGTGGCTGGGGGGGAGCTGCAGATGCCACAGGCTTGTTTACAGTCCCCCAGGGGATCCTCATGTGCCATGGAGTGCAGATCTGCATGATGAGCCTCTCACAGCAAGCGTGCTCTGTTCATTTGTGACACTGCCCACAGGAAATAGATTGGGAGCACCCTGGTTTCTCTAAGTTTGTTAGAGGTGGCCAATAGGACAGCTCAGACACTGAATTTCTAACGCTTAGTATGCACTTGAATGCTCAGTAAAAATTACATCTCCATGCCCCCATGTGGTGCATCAGTAATACTGCGCCTTTAAAACCTGAACACACTGCAGAGAAACCTTAGGCACGAGGCAGCACCTGCCTTTGCTCACTCAGATGCCTGCCCAGGGTAGCATTCATCCAGAGGACTTCAAATACAAAGAGACGCCTACCCAGGTGTCTAAGTAAATGAACGCAGTGTGCGGGAGGCTATTGTTATGCAAGGTGGATGTGGCTCTGTACCAAGTAGGTTCTGTGTTCTAGGTGCACACACACAAAGGTTGGGTCCTTGCTCATCTTCGTACCCTGCTACGAGTGTGGTGTGGGTGTCCTGCCCCACCTCTCTCCTAATCTCCCAGGGAACTGAACCATCACCAAGATACCAACAACCAGCACTTGCCCGGCATCAGGCCCCGTTCTGGGGACGCCCTCGTGTGATTTTGACTCTTCCTCCGTCCCCCCTCCAAGTGAGAGGGGTGGTGTTTTACCCTCCAGGGAGCCATCTCAGAGGCTGTGGTTTGCCCAAGCTGAAAGACACCGACAGACAGCCTCGGACCAGAATCCCGGTCATCTGGCTTCACAGAGTCCGCTGTCCTCACTCCCACGCCCGCAGGAGCGTCTGGTCATGGGACAACACTGCTCCTCTTGATGCCACAAAGGAACAGGAAACAGCGCAGGCATTTGCATGCGAACCAGCGCTCCTGTGTGCCACTTTCCTGCTTTGCAGGCTGATCTCAGCTCCGGTTCTCCTCGGCAGGGCTGGTTCCTTCTCTGGACTGAGAAGGACCATCCAGCCCCTGCCTGCCCCGGCCTTAGGGCATTTGTCAGCATCTTCGGTACTTGGCTCCCGCTGTATCCCCTCCATCTCTGCCTTCACCTGTTTCCATGCCCGTGTCTGAATTCCCCATGTCCTTGGGTTAGAAGCCCACCCTACTTCAGTATAATTTTAATTTTGTCTACAATGATCCTGTTTCCAAATAAAGTCACATGCTGAGGCACAAGGAGTTAAGATTCCAACAAGAACTTGGGGGAAGGGGACTGCAAAACCCCTCCCCATGCATTCCACCAACATCTCCTGAGAAGTGACCGTAGTTCTTGGGTGGCCTACACCCTGGCGTGTGCACTGACAGCCCAGTCGCGTGGAAGCCTGGAAGACGGAGCGTGTGTGGGGTGGCTGTAGATGCTGCCTGAACTCACAGGACTGCTGTGTGTCTCTGGGTAGAGAAGGGGGTGCCTCATGGAGCAGCTGACCCAGGTCTTGGGAAGACCCAACAAGTGGAGCTAGGAGAGAGGGCTTCACAGAGACAGGAATGGTAGGGCGACCACGTGGCCGGGAAGCACAAAGCGATGACTAGGAGGTGACATGTGACCCACCAGTCCCCAGGCTGCACTCTGCCTCATAGTGGTTCTGCCACACAGTGTGCTTGGCCCAGCCACAAAGGGCTGCTAGGCTGGGAAAGCTTATGGTGCCCTGCCCACCAGACACACTCATCACCCTCATGCTCATCACCCCTATCATTGCTGCCTTCCACTTTGAATTTAGTCCTCATGGCAAGGTGGCCTCATTGTGCAAGCTGTGTAGCTCGTGCCAGTGCCGGGAAATCACTGTCTCAGTTACTGGCACTATTGCCACTTACGCATTTAAAAAAAAAAAAAAGATGAATTTATGGACTACCTTGGACTGCCCAGTGCTCTCAGTGGCCACTGAGCCCTTTCCAGTGAGGAGGGCTGACTTCCTTCCCCGCTGCCTGTCCAGTTTGGCCCCAGGTTGGCGGGTGTGCAAGAGCGTGGTGCATTGCCCATGCTGGCTTCCCTTGTCGGTGATGTCAACTCCCAGTGCCGGTCCCTAGCCCCACCCAGCCTGGCCTTGCTCCCCCTAGAGACCTGGATTATCAAAGGCAGTAAAGACCAGGCCTATTTCCTGAGCTTGCTGGGTATTTATAGTGTGTGAACATCAGCCCTGTGAGACAAGCATAAATCATGTCAGTTAGCGAGCCCGCCTCCTGGAAATGCGCTGATTAAAGGTCCGTGGTGCACATTTTCACACGTGGATGAGGAAGACCAGAGTCTTCCTGGGATGTCTAAGTAGTAGCAACTGCGCCCAAAGGGCAGCAGGGACCCTGTAACTCCTTGACCCGGGGTGTGCTGCCAGGGGCCGTGAGAAGTGTGAAATCAAGATCCCCTCACGTTCCACCCTCAGCTGCGGTGCCCCCATGCTGACCTTTGGGAGGCTCGCGCTCTGGGTCTGGGTTTTCTCCAGCCTCCCAGCTGCAGCTGAGCCTGTCTCCTTCCCCCAGGGCGAGAGGAGAAGTCTGAGAACGCGTTGAAAGCCGGCACCTGCTGCGCCACGTGCAAGGAGTTCCACCAGGTGAAGCAGACGGTGCTGCAGCTGAAGCAGAAGGTACGTGCTGAGCTCGTGGGGGTCAGGGATGGGCTGGGGGGAGGGCCTGCCTGGGATGGAGCGGAAGCATGTTTAGGAAAACCAGAAGGAAATAACCCCTCACCTGCCTTGCCCAGTGGCTGCAGGTGATCCAATTAGGTGTGGATGGGGGGCTTCGCCTACCCACCCAGCCCCAGAGCCGATCCCCTAAAAGACAACACAGTAGCACGCTCATCAGCCTTCTACACAGCGAGACACCAGGAAGGAAGTGGGTGTGGAGCTTCCCATTCCAGATCGGGCAGTTCCGTCGCGTTGGGCCATCTGGGGAGGCTGCAGTGCAGAGCAGGTGTGGAGGTGAAGTCACCTGGCAGCCTCGGAAGCAGGAGAGGCTGCTAGCTGGGCGTCTGTAACCTGCCCTCCGACCACTGCCTTCCGATGCCATGCCCCCAGAGCCCTAAGGAGCTTCCATGGGGCCCTGCCTCCTAAACACCACAGTTAAATTCTCATCACTCTTAGGACCATTGGCTCGTGATTTTGGGGACTCCACATCTGCCTGAATCCTATTCAAAACTCAGGCACAGCCCAGGGAAGGGAAGGGCTGGAGCCCTGAGGGGCCGGTACTGTGGTGCAGCAGGGTGAAGCCTCTGCTTGAGACACCAGCGTCCCCTATCACAGTGCTGATTCAAGTCTCCACTACCCTGCTTCTGATCCAGCTTCCTACGAATGCGCCCAGAAAGTCAACAGATCATGGCTCAAGGGCTTGGGCCCCTGCCACCCATATGGGAGACCCAGATGGGGCTCCTGGCTTCAGCTTGGCCCAACTCCAGCTGTCAGGGCCATTTGGATGGAAGATCAATCTCTGTCTCTCACCCTTTCAAATAAATGATAAATCTTTACCCAAAAAAGAAAAAAAGCAGCGTTAAGATCCCATGACTGGGGCCGACACCGTGGCTCACTTTGTTAATCCTCTGCCTGTGACACCGGCATCCCATGTGGGCACTGGGTTCTAGTCCCAGTTGCTCCTCTTCCAGCCCAGCTCTCTGCTGTGGCCCGGGAAGGCAGTGGAGGATGGTCCAAGTGCTTGGGCCCTGCACCTGCATGGGAGACCAGGAAGAGGCACCTGGCTCCTGGCTTTGGATTGGCGCAGTGCCAGCCATGGCAACCATTTGGGGAGTGAACCAGCAAAAGGAAGACTTTTCTCTCTGTCTCTCTCTCTCTCACTGTCTGTAATTCTACCTATCAAATAAAAAAAAATAAAAATTAAAAAAAAATATCCCATGACAGCTATAAGCTAGGCTGAGCTGTGATTACTGCATGATTTCTCACATCGCAAATTTGCAGCCCGTGCTTCAGTTGCGCTCTGGGCACCTGGGGAGGCATGCTTGGGGGTCCCTCAGGTCACCCCAGCTGAGAACTGACCTGATGTTGACAAGGCTCCTCCGAGTCCTGGTGGAATGGAACACTGGCTCTCACAAGTGGTTCTGCTGTGAGTGCACCCCACGATGGAGCTGGTGACCTGACTTCTTGAACCACCATCCTGGACCCAAGTGAACAACATTTATTCTACCTGCAGGCAGTTGATCTGTTAGTGTGTCGGGCAAGACAGAAGTTGCTCTGACGCTGATAAAATGTAAGCTTTCTGGTTTGTTTGTTTAATTTTTTCCACTCAAGGCTCTTAACACATCAAAGAGGTGTATCTAATCTGTTTAACTCTGGCGGTCAGTTACTCCAGAGGGCAGAGTGTGAGCACAGGACAGTATCTCTTTTCCATGTTCAACAAACATGCGGCCAGCCCCTAATGAGAACCACAGCTACCAGTTAAGCAAACAAGGCTGAGAAGAGAGAAGTGGTTTTGCAGGCCTCTCAGACGTTGTTGAAGATGTGATCAGCTTCAGCGGACAGAGGTGTTTATTTGACATATGGTCACGAGCAAAGCATGCATCTGACCCTAAATAGTTTGTGATCTAATGGGGACATGAAGCAAAAAAGTGTCCTTATGAATACAAAGCGATACGTAAGGATGTCTCACCCCAGGTTGAGCTTGGATTGATACTAGTATTTCTTGAACAAACCCAGGAAAGGGTTCCTGGAAGAAGCAGCAACTTCGCTTTTTGCAGAGGTGGGGAACATCCCGTCCTCAGGCCATATAGGGCTTGCCAGGTCATCTGGTCTGGTCCTGCCAAGGCAACTGCAGCTGGGACTCAAAATTCAGTCTATAGCAGGCTGATTTTTAAGTTGATCATTTTGTATGGCCCACGAATGATGTTATAAATAACCAAACGGCCCTTGGCAGAAAAAAAGCTCCCCCACTCCTATGAAGTTTAGAGCTTAGGGGAGGTCTCCAGGCATGAAGCTGCCCTCCATCTCCTGCCCTATATGCAGTCTTCCAGCTCTGTGGGCAAGTGTCTCTCAGCCAGAGTAATCTTTAGGAACCGAGGAGCTAAGTTTCCCAGGAGTCAGTTGCTCAGTCCTTGTCTGACTTCCCTTTGACCCTTTGCAATCTATGATTTATGAGAAGAAGTAAAAGGAAGCTGGAAAACTTGTATCAAAATGCCTGTCACTCCCCACTTACCCCCCCCCCCCACACACACACACATGCATACAGACCCTGCTGTAGAAATGCAGAAAAATCTACAAGGTGGTTTCAGTGTTTGAATAATCTGTGTAGCTGGCTTGGACCAGAGATCAACGTATGCCAAAGGCTCCCTCCAAGTGCATTGTGGCAATTAGGAGCCGACGTTGACACGCAAGGAACACGGCGAGGAACAGTTCCTTTCCAAAGGCACCTGTTACAACGAGTGGCAATCTGTAGCTTATGGAACAGTTTTATATTTCCAATTGTAGTTCTTACATACCTTGTAAGAAAGATACTCACAGACATGTGACCCAGGGAGCCAGAGCTAAAACCTAGGTCTCTTCCTTCTGCTCCTGAGCCAGTGTCTTGCTCATCAGTTGAGTTTTGTTTCTGTTATTTATTTTTTATTTGCATGCATCTCATAAATACAACATTAAGAGCATCGAGAAGAACCCAGTGGTTTTTAATGTCAGCTTACTGGTGCTGATGCCATCTGTTCTGTGCAGGAGTGAACATAGGACATGTGCCCAAATAAACACTGGCCAAGAAGTAGGTACTGGGTGTCCTGGGCTGCGGCCAACACCACAGGATAAAATGGTGTGTGAACGTGTTGGGCTGTGCCCTGAGTATGCAATCAGCTGACTGTGGGAAATGTTCCAGCTCAAATGCCCTGGGTTTGTCAACAGATAGTGTGTGAAGAAAAGAGAAATGAACCAGCAACCTGTTAGAGGAATTTAAAAGAGCTATCACTTTTCAAACAGACAAGACTAGACCGTAGTGTTTCGGCATGCACAGTTGGGCAGTGAGTTATCTTAACAGGATATGATTAATATAAAAGTCAAGATAGTGGTTTGTGATTTTGTGGGAGAAGGGGGAGGCTGAGCACTCAGAAGGGGGTTGGAGTGGCTGGCAAAGTTGTTTCTGTTGATTTAAGTCAACAAAGGTCCTTGCTGTCTAATAATATACTAAGGGGTATACACACACACACAGATTCTGTACTTTATTTTCCAATAAAAACTGGGTTTTGTAAGATGATTTATTTGAAAGAGTTACAGAGAGAGTGAGGTCTTTCGTCCACTGGTTCACTCGTCCAGTGGCTGTAATGGCTAGGGCTGGGCCAGGCCAGAGCCAGGAGCTTCATCCTGGTCTCCCACGTGGGTGCAGGAGCCCAAGCACTTGGGCCGTCTTCCGCTGCCTCTCCAGGCACATCAGCAGAGAGCTGGATCGGAAGTGGAGCAGCCAGGTCTCAAACCAGAGCCCATATGGGATGCCAGCACTGCAGGCAGCGTCTTCACCTGCTCTGCCACAATGCCAGACCCACAATAAAAAGTTTTTAAAAATAGTATGTAAGCCCCAGGGCCTTTGCCTTTACCTCCACCATTTTTTCTACAGCGTGGGAAGAAAGATGATTCAATGAAAGAGGGAGTTTGGGGGTAGATACAACACTTGATTTAACTGATAGATGCATCTTGCTCCTGTTGAGCTCTGAAGACAAATCAGAACCTGCTGATTTTGTGAGAGTGACTTGTGCTCCCGCTGTAGGGACTGCGTGATGGGGGGAGGGGGAGGTGGCCACAGGATTCCAGGGGGAAGGGAGGCTCCAGGAGGGGCTTGGGACTCTCTGGGCTCTGTGGGTGTGGTTGGCAGGCGTGCTCAGCCTCCATTTCTGGCTGCCTGGGAAGCAAGAGATCTCTCTGCTTATGATCCAGCAGCCTCTCCCCACAGTGAGCACTTAGGGGAATCATGAACCATAAGTCAAGAACAACTGACTGAACACCTACTGTATCCCAGAGGGCTTGGGAATGAGATAGAAAACAGTGTGGGATAAAGCCCTGCCTTAATAAACTGTCTTACGGAGAAACCAAGCCAATGGTATAAGACAACGAATGATGGCCAAGTGGAGTGGGGCAGAGACTCAAGCTTGAGGAGTTAGAAGTCAGTGACGCTGCAGAGGGGAACAGATTTCGAAGCCCAGTGACGGCTCTTGCTCACCTTATCAAGAGATCACCTTGGATGTCAGGCAGATATGTGAGGCTAGTTTGTGGCTTCCTCTGCTGCCTTGAGCCACTTGATCTCAGTAAAATGGGTCATCTCAGAACTGTTGGGAAGACCAACCCAAATTTCAGAGACTATAGATCACTTTGCAAGTACCATAGTAAACTTGGGTAGAAGCATAGATTCCAGAAGCAGAATTCCAGCCATACCACTTGCTGGCTGTGTGACCTGGGGTAAGTTGCTTAACAACTTTGTGCATCAGTTTTATCAACTGAGGATAACAGTAATGCCTACCGTGTAGGGTTTTGATAATGATCTCATAAATTTTTATAAAGAACTTAAAACCATGTCTGCCACCTATAAAGAACTTGGAAATGTTTATCAAATAAATAATTGACATTAATTATGAGCATACATCTTTAAAGGCAGCATCTCATTGATTAGTCCCAACAGCTGTTAGGTAGACAGTCTGCTATGAAGGCTGATAGGAGATGATGATTCTTGTACCCCATTGTCAGGAAGTCAGTGGAAATAAGAACTTTTTTTGCATTACTACTAAATTCTTCCTGAGCACCTGGCCTCCCACAAGCCCATGCTCTGCTGTGTTTATGCAACAAGTCAGGGCTCCTGCATGGCCGCCTCTCACCCACGAGTGCCCTCATTCCCACTCCTCCTGCTGATGCATGGAGGAACTCAGGGGCACCAGGGAATGGTTTACCCAGCGTGGGATCAGCCAGGACACTGAGGGCAACCTTCACAGGCTCAACTCCCGACAGGAGTGTCCCACATCTGAGTGCCTCCGTGCAACTCCCAGCTCTGGGTCCTGATTCCAGCTTCCTGCTAATGCAGACCCTGGGAGGTGGTAGTGCTGGCTCATGTAGTTGGATTCCTGCCATCCACATAGGAGACCTGGATTGAGTTCCCAGCATCAGACACCAGCCACGGAAGGCATTTGGGGAGTGAACCGGCAAATGGGAGTCAGTCTCTCTGTTTAAAAACCTAGCTCATGACTGGCCTTACCCAAGGATTCTAGAACTACCCCGAGGGCTCCTGAGCTTTGTGGAGGTGTGTGCTCAGAAGTCCCAACAATGCTGGGGGAAGGGATACTTTGCATGGCAGCGTCGAAGCTGCCCTGGGTGTTGTATCTCTGTGAGCACCCTTGGCACCCTGAGCTGGAATGGATTCCAGTAGGCTCCATTGCAGATGGAACTCAAAGTGGGGAAACGCAGCCTGTTGAGGGGCCACCCTAGGCTCAGATAGGATCCTTGGCACCACTAAAGCAGAAGAGGGCCTCTTGACTCTGGGAGATCCTGACTGTACTTTGCAGGTGTGTGGGGAAGACGGGGCTCAGATTCAGCGTGTTCTTCACGTCTGGCAGTGAAGGTCCAGCAAAAGCCCTCTCATGCCACCTTGGCTTTGCCTTGTAGAAAAATCACAGGTGCTTTGTTAAGGGGCTCATGGAGTATAGGACCAGGCAGTCGTTTTACAAAGGAGCTAGAAGAATTTGTTCTCCAGGAGATGTTTCAGGATAAGTTTGCTGAAGTACAAACTACATATGTGGAGAGTCTTCAGAGGACATGTGTATTATTTTAAAAACTATGCATGGATTTCAATTTTTTGCACCAAGATAAACTCCTAATTCCTCCTTTCCATGAGCTTTTCCAAGTGCCCTCGTGTTATCATGACATTTGCTTTTCATTAATATTGGATTTCTTCTGTTGGCAAGAATGTCTGCCTCTGTTACTAGGAAAAGTCATCACTCTTAAAGCTGTATGGTGAGGGCCCCAAGCCCAGCAGCTGCCCAGCAGCAGAACGGGATCTGAGCCGGAGGTCAGCCTCTGAATCGTGTTTCCTAAAGGGGAAGCTGAATGCAGTCGTTGCCAACGCCTCAGACCTCGGGGAGCACATGACATCCTCTCGGACAGCAGCCCTGCCAAGCCCGTAGCGTGCACCTGTAGTCTTTCACTGTCAGATGCCTGGGCTGTTGTGCAGTTTGTGCATTTTGTTGCCTCCTATGGGATCCCCACAAGCCTCTGCTGAGAGAGAGTCAGGGACTTGTGATCATCTTTACTGCATCTCCCGTTCTTGTGATCATCCCACGGCTCCATGCTGTGGCACTGTCAGTGCCCTATTCCCTGAGAGACTACCTTCCATAATGGAGACACACGCAGGCCCTGGACGCCCCGGGGTCCCCTGTGAGCATCCTTGGCTGTGCCTCACCGTGCTGCCTCAGAACTTGACTGGCATCTGCAGTCTCTTGAGAAAAAGAGGACGTCGCCGAGGAAGGAAACGGAGGTGACAAATGCTGACTTCCTCACAAAGGCAGGAAGTAAAGAAAACTCCAAGTTCAAATCAATATTCACTGGCAGATTTGTTTCTTTCCCCTAAAAGTTGTGATTCGGAGCGGAGGATGAACTCTGTACCGTTTTAGATGGACTGCTTCATACTGGGGTTGAACCCCACGGGGCAGTGGTTCCACGGCAGCCTGGCCACCTATGACTGTGTACAGACAGTAGGTGCCTCTTCCAAAAGCACAGGTCCCAAGATGGGCTTGGAGCCTGGTACCCGAGGGTGAGGTAGGATCTATCACGCGCCTTGCTGAGCCTCCATGACCCTGTGGCCCCCGAGCAGGGTTTTGTCCAGGATGTTGGAGGAACAAATGAAAGGGGCTTCAGAAAATCACAGCAATTGCTGCTCTCTACAGAGCTCCAGGCCCCAGAGGGAGTCCTCTGGGGGTTGCTCCTGCGCTAAGAAATGTGCTCCTCTCCACTTGATTTTGCTCCCCCAAATTTGCTTCCAGGAGGGAAGAGGCTGGAACTACCATGTACCAAGCACGCAGCATGCCCTATGTCCTGGGCTGGGCACTTGACACACATTTCCATACTTAGTCTTTACAGCCTCAGAGGTGGGCACTCCTGTTTGCTCTTACCCGTGAGGAAACAGGTGTCGCACACAGTTGGCCTGACTTCCATCTGTATGTCATTGATGCAGGCGGTTCTCTGGATTAGAATGAGTTGCACAAGAGAACAAGCGAGGTTCCCGTGCCTTTCGGTGTGAGTCCCGGGAGCCACACCCGGTCACCTCTGTCCCATTCCATTCATTAGAAGTAAGTCGCTAAATCCAGCCCTTGTTTGAAGGGAGAATTGTCAAAGAACTGGCAGGCAGATTGTAAAAGCCCTGCGGTCACCGTTGCCCTGTGTGTTGAAGGTGGGTTCTGAGGGTGTCGGTGAACCATCGGCCGCGTGCTGGGTCTCAGATCACAAGTCGTAGCATTCCTCAATGGCAGTGACCAGATCCTGGTCACCGTTGTAGCCAAGAAACAGCACAGTGCTCGGCACATAGTAGGTTTTCAAGAGATGTTTGAGACCTAGATCGGCTAAATGACAACTGGAGAGCATGGGAAGGGGAGGTCTATTAGTGGTGGTCATGGTGGTCCTAGTGATGTCTACCAATCTAGGGCCCCTCTAGGTTCCAGCCGAGTGACCCCCTGCATGTTGCTATCGTAAGAAAGCTTCTAGGTTCAGAAAAAGAATCTCTAGAGTCCCTTTGAGCTGTTTTCAAGGGTTCTTCAAGTTCATGGCAAATGGAATTCAACAGTAAATTTATATGGTTGCAAAAAGCATTTGAAATCTTATTCATACAGCAAGTCATGAAAAAACTTGTGGAAAATTGGAAGAAAGCTATGCGTGGATTTCAAAAATTTTTTGCACCAAAATTTAACTTTTAATTCTGTTTTCCACAAACTTCTGAAATACCCTCACGAGTGTGCACATGCTGTGTGCATGTGTGTATGTATGTGTGTACACATGTACATGCGTGTGTGTTTATGCATATGTGTTGGTGTCACGAGAACATTGTGCAGCCTCTGCCAACAGCACAGATGCAGAAGACCTCCCTGCGGCGGAGCCCTTGCTTCCTGACCAAGATCTCCTCTCCTCTTTACAGATTGCCCTGCTCCCCAACAATGCTGCTGACCTGGGCAAGTACATCACTGGCAACAAAGTGCTGGCCTCAAACGCCTACCTTCCAGGACCTCCCGGCCTGCCTGGGGGCCAGGGCCCTCCAGGTGAGTGCAGAAAGGTGCAGGAGGGTGACAGTCACCAGCAAAGACTACCACGAGCTTATGGTCACCAGGGGCTGGACAGGGCTGTCCAGCTTCCACTGATGAGACCTGAAGCAGGACTCTAGGCAGTGGCAGTTGCTGTCCTGCTGCATACCTGTGCACCCAGAAGCCTTGGGAATTGGGCCCTTAGAACCAATAGTAAAGTAGAAGACAAAGCTGATTGTCCTGGGATTGGGTGCAATTCTTAGAAATCACTTTAATTTTAAAGATAAACCAAAAAAGATGATTTTATAATGCCATTCTGGAAGAGAATTAACATATACAGGAATGGAAGGGCATAGTGCACCCCAGTAGGCTCCCTGACCCAGAGCTAACTTGAGAACTGGCCTCATTTGCACTGCTCCCCAGTCATCCTTCCACCTCCCTGACTTGTTAACACAGGTACTTCTATGTTTATTGTTATATCTAGCTACATCATTGCCACTGTAAGCCTACCTTGAGACACAACTTGTAGGCAATGAACTATAACCACTTAGATTGCAACTGAATGAATTTTGACAAATGTACTCACCCTTGTATCCAACACACTGTATCCGTATCAAGATGCAGAGTATTTCATCACCCCGGAGAGTTCCCTTGTGCCTATTTTCAGTCCATCTGCTTCCCCATCCCCAGCTTCAGGCAACCACTGGCCTGCCTTCTTCCACTACAGTGTCTCCTGTTCTGGAAGTGTGGGTCGATGGCATCTTTAGTGTGTATTTGTTTTTTCTGGCTCCCTTCATTCAGTATACTGTTTGGGAGATTGGCTGCATTCATTTAAGGACATTCCAAATGTCTTATCAGGAAATATACAATGAGAACTCTAAAAAAAAAATCACAAGGTGTTTTTATTTTGAGTCCCTCTATCATAGATGGGTAGATCACATTTTTTCACAACAGCAAAGGAAATGATGGTAGTGTTAGAAGATGCCTCAAGATATCTTGTCCCTGGTTGCCATTGCTCAACCGTGCACTAGGTGTTGTGAATGTCCTCCTGACATTCCAGTGAGAGAGACAACACAACCAGAACACATGAGGGTGGAATTAAACAGTGTCCACGTGCACCCAGGGAAGTGTACAGAGCTTCCTTGCTGTGGGAGCTTAAGGGGAGAGAGCACTGTACCTGCGTTGGTTGGGATGGCATTCACTGTGGACATGGAGGACTGGGAGAGTTTGTCAGTGCTGAAATGACACGGGTGGGTTTCATTTGGAAAAGTCAACAACAAGAAAGGCTTGGTGTGCTTCCCATAGGCTTAACACTTATGTGTTAAGTTCCTGCTTTCCATAAAACCCAGGTGGCCTGATACAGAGAATCAGGATGGTCCAGAAGTGCAGTCGGTTCTCTTGTTCATCCCCTTGGCCTCCGACGCCCTGGGTCGTATCTGGGGTTTCCTCCAGCAGGTGCCTCCCGCAGGCAGCTTCTTGCTGCCGCTAAATACAGTGAGGCCTCAGCTTACACACTGGGTTCCAGCACAGTGTTCTCCTGTCTCTCAGAGAAGCCTCTTGCTTTGCTTCCTTGGAGGATGAACTTCTCCAGGCCAATCTGTTTATCATGAAAGAGGGACACTGCAGGAACAGCGGGTCCACTGGCTGTCCTCTTTCCCAGTAAATGGCTTTCAGCCCTTCCTCCTCTTCCCTGCAGTGAGGTTTCTAACATGCTTTGAGCTGTCCAGGGTCCTTGCTGGAGTAGCCTGTGAGCCTGAATGAGCTTTTGTAGTGGATGAAGCACTGGGGTGGAGAAATTCCAGTCCTGGTTGCCTCTCACTGCTTGTATTTGTGAACCTCTCCATTGAGGTGCATCGGGACAGCTAGGAAGCTGGTAGGATTTCTCTCACCCTTAGGTAGAAGTCCAGTCCAAGGCCAGTAGTCAGTCCCACACTGAAGCACTAAAATGATTGGGATCCTTTAGTCTTGGTGGTAAGGGAAGGGTGGCTGCTGTTCTCCCATCCCCACTGCTGTGTATGAGGTACAGCCGTGTGTATGTCCAAGTCCTGTGTTTTAAAGACTCCTTTTTAAAGTTAATTTAAAAAAGCGTTTATTTTGTTTATTTGAAAGGCAGAGTTACAGAGAGAGAGAGAGGGAGGGAGGGAGGTAGAGAGAGGTCTTCCATCTGATGGTTTACTCCCCAAGTGTCCGCAAGAACCATAGCTGGGCCAGGCCAAAGCCAGGAGCCAGGAGCTTCTTCTGGGTCTCCCTCACGAGTTCAGGGGCCCAAGGACTTGGGCCATCCTCCGCTGCTTTCCCAGGTGCATTATCAAGGAGATGGGTTGGAAGTGGAGCAGCCAGGACTCCAACCAGCGCCCGTATGGGACACTAGCACTGCAGGCCGGGGCTTTAACCCACTGCACCACAGTGCCAGTCCCTAAGACCCTGACATGCAGTGATTTCTGGAGTTCTGTTATTGGAGACACAATGTCCAGTTATAGGAGGCATCTGGCCCCCTTCCCAGATCAAACTCTGAGGATACACAAGAGGCCAGTGTTGAGACATGTGTGAATGGGACATGGGCTGCCTTTCCCTTAAGCTTAATATACAAACTAGGAAAAGCTTCTCTAAAAATGATGAGTCTGAATTCTTTATTTCCTTTCACATCCTGGAGCCTGAGAGTCAGGCTACCCTGTCACCATGCCCTGCCAGCAGTAGGAGCTAAGACTGAAAAGTGATTACTGTATGCATTTAAAGGAGACAAGAATGAGGAATAAGGACAGCAGTGCCATTGGCCCGGTCTCTTCAGTGCAATTAGCAAAAAACATTGACTGCAGCCTGCTGCGTGCCCTCACTCAGAGAATGCACTCATGAGGAAGATGCACTCAGTGTTCCCACAAGAGCTGCTGATTGGACGTGGGTTAAAACTCAAAGTACTTCCATATGCAAAAGAATGAAGTTGAGCTCTTACCATATGTTCCATATAAAAATTAACTCAAGAGGATGGCATTGTAGCATAGAAAGTTAAGCTGCCACCTGCAACACCAGCATCCATATGAGCACCGGTTCAAGTCCTGACCGCTCCACTTCCAACCCATCTATCTACTCACGGCCTGGGAAGGCAACAAAATGGTCTACGTCCTTGGGCCCCTGCACCCAAGTGGGAGGCCTGGATGAAGCTCCGGACTCCTGGCTTTGGCCTGGCCTAGCCCTGGTCATCCCAACCACTGGGATGTGAACCAGTAGATGGAAAATATTCTCTCTCTCTCTCTCTCCCCTCCCAACCCCCATGTAGCTCTGCCTTTCCAAGAAATAAATCTTTCTTAAAAAATTAACTCATAGCTTGAAATTTTAACTGTGAGTCATAAAGCTAAGAAGAAAACATAGGAGCAAGATTCATGAATTTGCCCAATAGTTGTTTGGATGTGATCCCAAACCATAGATAATTTTAAAAAGGGTTACATTAAACTTAAAAAGTTCTGTGTAGCAAAGGGAAGAATCAACAGAGTGAAAAGGCAGCTTCCAAAGTGGGAGAAAATATGTGTGGTCATTTGTCTTACAAGAGATTAGTATCCAGAGTATAGAAAAAGTCTCGTGTAAGTCAAGGAAAAAAACAAACAATCTGACTCAGAGATACGCTTCCATAGATACTCCTCCAAATAATGCATGCAAATGGCCAACAAGTGTATTAAAAGATGGGCAACATAATCAGTCATTGGAGAAATGTAAAACAAAACTACAGTCAGAGGAGAGAGGAGAGAGAGGGGAAGGGGGGAGAGACAGAGAGGGAGAGGGAATATGAGTGAATATGACTCAGTATTGCCAGGGATGTGAAAACTTGGAATCCTTGTGTCCCATTGGTAGGATTATAAAATTGTACAGTTACTGTGGAAAACAGTATGGAGCTTCCTCAAAAAGTTAAAAATATATGATCATGAGATCCAGTAATCCAGTAATTCTGACACATGTCACGCATGTATGAGCCCTGAGGGTGACGATCTAGTCAGACAGATGCTTATGTGACTCCATTTACGTCTAAAATAGTGAAATTCAGAGACAGTAGAATAATGGTTACCAGAGGCTGAGTGGAACAGGAGGTGGAGAAGAGTTCGTCAGTGGTAGCAGAGCTGGTTTTACAAGACAAGAAGGTTCTAGAGATCAACAATGTGAATGTCCTGAGCTGCACATTCAAAGATGCTTAAGAGTAAATTGTGTGTGTTACGTTGAAGATGTTCTTAGTGCCTGCTCCCTGACCCCTCGTCCCCCTCGGCTGACGTCCAAGGCCCAGTGTAGAATTGAGATGCTGCTGTCTAGACCCAGGTGCTGCCCCACAGTTTCCTCAGCTACAGCCCCGCAAAGAGCCAGCAAGGTGTCTTGCAGAGTACTCCCTGTATGACAGACATGCTGCCCCACACAGAAGTGGGGGGATATCCCCAGCCAAACCCAGGTGGCTGTCTACAGCTCTGTGTGTGGATGAGGTAGGGGATGGCACTATGGCGGAGTGAGTAAAGCCACCATCTGCAGTGCCAGCATCCTATATGGACACTGGCTTGAGCCCTGGATGCTCCACTACCAACCCAGCTCCCTGCTAATGCACCTGGGATATCAGGAGAGAATGGCCCAAGTACTTCAGCCCCTGCACCCAGGTGGGAGACCCAGAAGAAGCTCCAGGCTCCTGGTTTCAGATTGGTCCAGCTCCAACTGGTGTAGCCATCTCTCTCTCTCTCTCTCAATCCACCTTTCAAATAAATGAAAGAGAAAATGAAACTGAGAAGAATGCAAGAGAAGGTGGGCCCAAAGGAACCACCAATGGAAAAATATTAGTAAATGAGGAGTGTCCGTCTCTTCTCCACTACCCTCCTTGATGAGGTGCTCTAGCCATACTCTGCACACATACAAACATTTATCAAGCAGGCACAAAACAGTCCCACCACTTGTTCTTAATATATTCCCATTGCTTTGTTGATTTAGGAATTTGAAGAAGATTAACAACAACAACAAAAAGATCCTCAGTAAGAAACCTCAACCTCAGAGTCTCAGGGAATAAACCAGCAGGGGTTGAGGCGATCAGAACCAAACCAGGGGGCCCATATGCTCATCTCAGGGACAGCCTCCATCAGGCTCCAGTGAGCTGTGCCAGTGGTGGAATTGTGGCCCAGGTTTCAGTTCTTCCTGTTTTCAGATAGCCAGAAACTTAGATTTGTATGTGCTGTCTCATAGTTTTAAGCGTGGGGAATATCCAGAGGCTAATACTGTGTGTGAGCAGTGTCCATGTGCAGTGCGTACACACACACTGCAGTGATGCACACTGGCCTAAACAGGGGAAGGGCTGTCAGATGTTTCGGGAGATCTGTGCTCCGTGGAGACTACAGGGAGGTAGAGGCAGAGGGTGGTCTGCACCTGGTGGTGTGCTGTAGCATGATTTATCCGGGTAGGGTGGAGGCTGAGAAGTGCTTCAAGAGGCAGACAAGAGAGACCTGGGGTCCTGTGCTGAGTCTGACCTTTGTTCTATGTGCAAGTGAAAATCACTGCATGGTTTTCTTCTGCTGCTGGGATTTCCATTACACATATGTTAGACACACATGTTGTCCCGCCTCTTCCAGGTACTGTTTTACTTGTCTGTCTGTCTCCCTCCCTCCCCTTCCCCTTCCCCCTCCCTCTCCCTCTCTCTCCCCATTTTGGATAACTTCCACTGACTAGGCTGGATGATTCTTTCCTCCATTCCTACAGTCTGCTGAGAAACCTGTCAAATTATCACCAATATTGTGTTCGTTTTTTTCCATTTGACAGTTCTCTTTAATTTCCATCTCCCTACTAAAATTCCCTATCTGTTCAGGGACATTGTGTTTTCCACTAGCACCTTTAACAAATTTTAGTTAACCATGGTTATTTTAAAGTCCTTGTCGGATAACTCTGACTTCTAGGTCACCTTGGAGTCTGATTGTTCTATCGCTTGACCCTGGTTTACTCTTTGTTTTGCTTTTTTATATGCCTCAAAATTGATTCAAAGCACGATGTCATTTATAAAGGAACAGTGCAGATTGAGGTACTCACTAGTGACTCTCAGAGGTGGGTATCTTCTCTCTTTGCCAAGCCACCAGCACAGGGAGTTAAGTCGGTGTAAAGAAGAATTGAGCTGGTTTAGGTGTATTGACCTTCAGGGCTTTGTAGTCTTCAAATTTTCCAATTTCTCCAGTGGGGAGACACCATTACCACATGCTAGTGGGGGTGAGGGTGCTGATGGTTTTTTCTTGGTGTGTGTACTCCACGTCAGGCTTCAAGCAGCTCCTGCACACCCGTGCTGCACAGGGGCTGTCTCTGCACACTCCTGCCCTTCCCCAGGTGCTAGGCAGCCCTTATTCTACTAGGCTAGAGCTGTGGGAGGAGGGAGTGTTTTAGTTTCCGGCTGCGGTGCTAAGCATAATGTGCATCTGAGCTTGGAGTGAGATGATCTTCCACAGGCTCACCCGCCCCGCATACCTTGGATCTGAGGTCAGTGTTGCTTAGCCCTCCCCCAGGAGCAGTGGGTACGTGGGTCCTGCAAGAGAGACGTTTTGCTCCCCACCTCAGTGGCTTGGGGCTTTTGCCACAAAGGATTAAAAGTAGGGAAGCTACACGGTCAGAATTACTGTAGAAATAATGTTTATGGGGAAGTGTGAAGAATGCTTCCAGAGTGAACAAGATTGGCAGGAGGCAAAGGGAGTCATTTTCAAGGAAGCGTTGAAGCAAATATAAGAAATACACATTTTTTGAGTGCTAACTGTGGTGAGGTACCATATGAAGTGGTATGTGTATGTCTAAAATCTCCTTTTATTTATTTTCATTTTATTTACAAAAGATCTTCTATTTTCTGGTTCCCCCTCAAATAATTGTATCAGTCACCAGGCCAACACCAGGAGCCCAGAACTCAATTCCAGTCTCCCGTGTGGGTGGCCAGGACCTAAGCACTTGAGCCCTACCTGCTCCTCCCCAAGCCCACCCATAGGGTGTGTTAGAAGAAAACCAGACCGGCCGGCACCGCGGCTCACTAGGCTAATCCTCCGCCTAGCGGCGCCGGCACACCGGGTTCTAGTCCTGGTCGGGGTGCCGGATTCTGTCCCGGTTGCCCCTCTTCCAGGCCAGCCCTCTGCTGTGGCCAGGGAGTGCAGTGGAGGATGGCCCAGGTGCTTGGGCCCTGCACTGCATGGGAGACCAGGAAAAGCACCTGGCTCCTGGCTCCTGACATCGGATCAGCGCGGTGTGCCGGCCGCAGCGCGCCAGCCGCGGTGGCCATTGGAGGGTGAACCAACGGCAAAGGAAGACCTTTCTCTCTGTCTCTCTCACTGTCCACTCTGCCTGTCAAAAAATAAAAATTAAAAAATTAAAAAAAAGAAGGAAACCAGAATGTAGAGTTAGAAACATACCAGGGGATTCCAATTCAATCCCATCAAGGTGGCATGTACCAATGCCATCTCACTAGTCCAAGGGATCAATTTCAGTTCACAATTGATCATAATGATAGGACTAAGAGCCAAAGGGATCACATAAACAAGACTAGTGTCTGAAAATACTAACTGATAGAATAAAAAAGGGAGAGAACCATCCAACATGGGAAGCAGGATACACAGCAGACTCATAGAATGGCAGATGTCCTAAACAGCACTCTGGCCTCAGAATCAGCCCTTAAGGCATTGGGATCTGGCTGAAAAGCCCATGAGAGTATTTCAGGCATGGAAAGCCAAGACACTCTGTCAAAAAAAAAAAAAAAACTAAATGAAAGATCTCCACGAGTGAGATCCCAGTGGAAAGAACAGGTCATCAAAGAAGGAGGTACCTTTCTCTGAAGGGAGGAGAGAACTTCCACTTTGACTACGACCTTGTCTAAATATGATCAGAGTTGGTGAACTCAAAAGGCTTCCATAGCCTTGGCAACGCATGACAAGAGCCTAGGGTGATTACTGACACCATAAACAAGAGTGTCAATTTGTTAAGTCAACAACAGGAGTTACTGTGCACTTACTCCTCATGTAGGAACTCTGTCCTTAATGTGCTGTACATTGTGATTTAATGCTATAACTAGTACTGAAACAGTATTTTTTCACTTTGTGTTTCTATGTGAGTCCAAACTGTTGAAATCTTTACTTAATATATGCTAAACTGATCTTCTGTATATAAAGAGAATTGAAAATGAATCTTGATGTGAATGGAAGGGGAGAGGGAGCAGAAAAGGGGAGGGTTGCGGGTGGGAGGGAAGTTATGGGGGAGGGAAGCCATTGTAACCCATAAGCTGTACTTTGGAAATTTATATTCATTAAATAAAAGTTAAAAAAAAGAGAGAGAAGGAAACCAGAATGGAGAACAGAGCTAGGACTCAAAGCCCAGCACTTCACTACAGGATGCAGGTATCCCGAGTGATATCTTAACCACTACACCCAACACTCACCCCTAGAACTTCATGTCATACTTGCAACCCCTCTTCAAAGTAGATTTTTATTAGCCCAGCCTCACAGGTAAGAAGCTACTTAGCCAAGGTTCAAACCAAGATCTCTCTTATGTGGAACCTGCACTCTTAACCTGAGATAGCCACTCATCTGCAGTGATCAAGGGGATAGAGAAGAACAGGGAGGAGAGATGTTAAAGAGGTGAACCACATGTGAGCTGCTCACTGATTGGGTAAGGACGTTGTGGAAATCAGGAGATAGGAGATCATTTCAAAAAGTTCATGGAAGCAGGTATTATGAAAAGACTGTGCTCGGATTTCAAAAGTTTTTGCACCAAAGTAGGTATCTGTGAATTCCGTTTTCCACAAACTTCTTGAAGCACCCCATATCTGAGCAGGAAGACTTAAGTTTCAGGTTTAAGTAGATGACGAGTAGTCCCTGGAAGGAGGAAGATGGGAAGGCACTTGTGGTCACGTTAGGTGCAAAGTTCCTTTGGGATATCTTAGTGGAAATGACGCAAGGTAAAGAGTGGTGTGCAGAAGTGATGGCTAAAGGGGGTCCTAGACTTGTTCATCAGCCAGAGCCCCCTCTCCTCCTCGCAGACTGTGAGCTAACGAGGTCTTCTTTGATTACAGGCTCACCAGGACCGAAGGGGAGCCCGGGATTCCCCGGCATGCCAGGCCCTCCTGGGCAGCCTGGCCCCCGGGGCTCCATGGGCCCCATGGGACCGTCTCCCGATCTGTCCCACATTAAGCAAGGCCGGCGGGGCCCTGTGGTCAGTATCATTCCAGAGGGCCGCTTGCTGCTGTTGGGGAGCGTGTGGTCTCCTCCTGTGCTCACCTCCTCTGCTAAACCAGGTTCTTTGGTCTTACAGGGTCCTCCAGGCGCACCAGGAAGAGACGGTTCTAAGGTGAGTGTTGTGAGTGGTCCTTACTAACCGCAGGTTCCTGAGCTTCCGCTGCACAGGCCTCCGGGAAGCTCAGTGTGCACTGTTTAAAATAAGCAAGATCTTGCGTGTGGCCAAGTCGAGACGTAGGTACTCAGGCTGAGCTGCCCCACTCTGATCTCTGAAAGCTTTGAGCACCGACACGACACTCAAAATGTTTCAGGTCCTGGGTTGCAGATTTTTGGGTTAAGGATGGTCAGCTGGTATAGAGTCTATGCAATTTTCCAAAATCCAGAAAACACTCTGATTTCAAGGATTTCAGATAATGGTTACTCAAACCGGTAATGTTTTCCCCAAAGCTGAGAACAAGATCCATGAAGCAGTTTTCTTTAAATATGAAACCAACCTTAAAAGCGAAAATGACCACTAAAACCATTCCCAAGAAAAATAACCTTGTAAATGTTTTTAAAGCCTCTGTATTGTAATAATCACATTTGTGGGTTTTTTTCCTTTAAACAGTGTGATTTTATAGGGTTATTTTTGGTGTCCTATTTCTTTGAGATGCTGTAGAACAGGAGAAGTTTGAATCTGTGCACGTGCCTGGCTCCACATGAAGAGCCGCCTGCTACTTGTCGCATAAGTCGGTGTGCATTTCTTTAGAAAGTCCGTGTCATTCCCCATGCAGCCTGGAAATGCTGACATTCCTCCTGTCAGATCTGCTTAGAAACTGTGTGGCCTTGGGGGGAATCAGAATGAGAGACGCTGGACCCAAATAGCTCTGTGCACAAAGTGGTCCCGTTAGTCTACTGTCAGTCTTACCTTTGTTTCCTATAGAAAATATTGATTTTTTGGGGACAAGGAGATAGTTAGGGGTGGTAGCATCTATGTGGCCCAGAAAGCTAACCCCGGTCCTTTCTGTTTTCAGGGAGAAAGAGGAGCACCTGGACCCAGGGGCTCTCCAGTAAGTAGCACTAATTTCCCTGCTTCCCAGTGGGAATGTTCTCAGTTGCAGTTCTCAGGATCCTATAAATCCGTCTTGATGGCAAAATTCTGCCCCTTCCAGCTGTCACTCATACAACCAAACCAGGGCTGTCAGGTTAGGAAGAGAGTCAAGGCAGCCTTTAGCAACTGGTTTGGATTTGGTTTTTACTTTGTTCTTTTTGTTGTTATTTTTGGTTATTATGGCTTAACATTTTTTTTAAGATTATTTATTTGGAAGCCAGAGCATCAGAGAGAGAGAGGGAGAATGAGAGAGCTCTCCCATCTCCTGGTTCAATCCCCAAATGGCCACAACAGCCAGGACTGGGCCAGGCCAAAGCCAGGAGCCTGGAACACATGGGCAGAGGGGGCCCCAAGTACTTGGGCCATCATCTTCTGCCTTCCCATGCTCATTAGCAGGGAACTGTAAGAGCAGCGAGGACTAGAACTGGTGCCCTAATGTGAGATACTAGTTGTTGCAAATTGTGGCTTGCCCTGCTGTGCCACAACACCTGCCCCCATGGCTGTTTTTTTTTTTTAATTGCGTTGATGAGCAGACAGGGAGAGTTCCCATTGGCTGGTTCACTCCTTAAATTCCTGCAACAGCCCTCCGCTGGGGCTGAATCTGCATACAAGGATCTCAACCCAGATCTCCATGTGGGGGAGAGGGTCAGCTACTCAAGTCATCACCTGCTGCCTCCCGTGATGTACGTCAGCAGGAAACTGGAGCTTGGAGTCAGAGCTGGGACAGGGACCCAGGTATTTGAGTATGGGATGAGCATGTTCCATGGCCCCTCCTATAACCCTTAGCAGGTCAAGCAACCTTTCTCCAAAAAATGTAAATACATCCAGGGCTGCTTGGGTTCCCAAGAAGACAGTAGCTGTATATATAATGTAGAAGATTAGAAATCAAAGTTAATAGAATCCAAAAGTACAGAAAATTCAACTTCTAATAAAGTCAGCGTCGTTTTTGAAGGAAGACCTAAGGCCATGACACAGAGGTAGGGGTCTGGGTTCCTGTCTCGGCTCTCCCAGCCGTTGGCACTCTGGGCACTCACCTTCTCACCTGTGCAATGCCGGCAGTGGAATCTGATCTGCTGCTGCTGTTCTGAGAGTCCAGTGATGCCCAAATGCAGTGCAGATGCCTCGAAGTTCTCTGCAGTGTGAGCTGCTGCTTCCAGCTGCACAGCAGTGTGGTTGTGATTTCACTACAGGCCCAGAACATTCAGTCTACGCGTTTTCCCCGTGCCCCTTGCAGCACTACCTGGAAATTAGGCTTCATAAAAATGCTATGGAATCATAATGGCTGTTCAGTAAATAGAGGAGAAAGCTTTTGTTTGGACATTCCTAGTGAATGAGCAATTTGTGTGTCTGCACCATCCTCATGACTTCCTTTAGTTCGCAGTTAATCAGTCAACGAATCAACATTTTTTTTTTTTTTGGACAAGCAGAGTTAGCGAGAGAGACAGACAGAGAGAAAGGTCTTCCTTTTCCATTGGTTCACCCCATAATGGCCGCCACAGCCAGCGCGCCGCGGCCGGCGCACCACGCTGATCTGAAGCCAGGAGCCAGGTGCCTCCCCTGGTCTCCCATGCAGGTGCAGGGCCCGAGCACTTGGGCCATCCTCCACTGCACTCCCGGGCCACAGCAGAGAGCTGGACTGGAAAAGTAGCAACCAGGACAGAATCTGGCGCCCCGACCGGGACTAGAACCCGGGGCGCCGGCGCCACAGGCGGAGGATTAGCCTATTGAGCTGCAGCGCCGGCCTCATTTCATTTTTAACAAACAATGTTTTTGAGTGTTTATTATGTAAAGATGCATATTAACTCATTGAAATCCTTACCCGTGAACCTTGTGAAACCCTATATTAAGTTAGTGCTATCATTGCCCATATTTTGGAGATTAAAAAAAAAAAAAGCCCCAGGAAATGAAGTAGCTTGCCCAAGGCCACCCGGTGAGCAGCAGAGCTGGGATGCTGCGATCCAAACCCAATGGAACTCCAGCCTTTGAAGCACAGCTCTCTTGTCCTCATAAGAGGACATATCTCATATCTCATATCTTTGAGATTTCTTATAAAGAAGGAACCCTTAAGAAGTTATTCTCACTCTTTCATGCAGACCTGGGGTAGCCCAGAGTGAAGGCAGAGTGAAAAAGTCACCAAAGCTCCTTTGTGAGATGGGGACTTAGAAGACAATTTGGGGCACCCCCCCCAGGCTACTGTAGCAGTCCTTCTCCCTAACCCATTGGGAGCATAGAGGGTACAGGACGTGGTTGCCAGCGAGCAGCAGGGCTAGCAAGCCATGGAGCCACGCCAAGTCCCTGCTGCTGCTGCTGCCCAGGGCGAGATCCGTGGGGTCCCAGCTGCGATTCCTCCCATGTGCACAGGGACCCCCTGGTTCTTTCGACTTCCTGCTCCTCATGCTGGCCGACATCCGAAACGACATCGCGGAGCTGCAGGAGAAGGTGTTCGGGCACCGGACTCACTCTTCAGCGGAGGAGTTCCCTGTACCTCAGGAATTTTCCAGCTACCCTGAAACCATGGACATGGGCTCTGGAGATGACTACACCAGAAGAACTGACTGAGGCGGCAGGCTTGGGAGCCCCCAGGGGCTTACATCCATAGCATGTCCCAGCGTCTTCATACCAGTGGGAGAGAAGAGGGTCTTCACCTGTAGTTCAATCATCTAAAGAACAAAAAAAACCCACCACTGGCAGCCTAGGAATGCTACCTTCTCCCTACTCTTCTTCCTCCAAATACTGCTTTCAGAGCCCTGAGAGACCTGCTAGAACATGCGGGGGAAATTATTGATTTACGTGCTTGCCCCCCTGGGAGTCACTTGGGCTACATTGGGACTTCTCTTCTGCTCCTATTTTTCCAGGAACTTCTAGATTTCTGGCTTATGTACTCTTGTGGCTGCTTAACATTGGCAGAATACGGAAAACGGGTGGGTGGGTGGAGATGGCCAGGTGAGCGCTAAAGAAATGTTAGGTTACTTCTAAAAACTAATTGATGTGTTTAAAATGGACTTAAGCCTCATCTCACATCAGAATTGGGGTTCCTCAATTACAGAGTGGTGGGAAGGACAGTCATGGGGCCCTTTCCTTGGTGGGTAGTTCTTTTTCCTTCATCAGGCTCTTAGATTACATGGTCTGTCCTCTGGTCCAACCTTGTTTGCCAAATTTGGTTAAAGAAAGGAGAGAATTGAGGAGTGGAGATTGAGGAAGATAGAAAAGAATTATAGTCCCGTGTTTGTTGTCATATATGACTACTGAGGGTTCATCCCAGGCTCATCTTACAAGTTCCCTAAGCAGACAAGAAAGTTACTCCAGCTCTAGGAATGAATCAGCTTTGGAAAGACAACCAGAATGTGAAATGTCCTGATTCACATTAGAACAATGGGCTTCTGGTTGCAGGGAAGCTTTTTGATCTAAAGAGGGGGCCTGTTCTGCCAGTGATGGATTATTTGTTAGTAACAGTGGCTGACCCCGGAGAGAGCTGCAGAATTCCTAGCACGGACCCAGTGCCCAGAAGATGCCAGCAGGCTGTGGTCCAGGCTGAATCGATGTACAATGGGGCTACAGCTGGAAAGGGGGTGCTGGCTTGGGTTGCGGGAGCCTGGGCAGAGACCCCTCTGAAGGCAGATTGGCAGAGGCGGATAAATTGGCTCCCGTTGGGTGTGGCCAATCAGGTTTACTAACATAGTGAGAACAATACACTATACAAAGTTCTTTTAGATGGAAGGAACACAGAAAACAGCCTTGGTTCACCTTGGTTAGCAGGTATTTTCTTCCTGCTATGCCCATTTTCCATTTTCCCCCCCTGCTTCATGTAGTCCAAGCTCCGGCTCTTTCAGTTCTTCTCTTTGATTTCCTCTGCTTGGCAGGGTGGGAAGCAGCTCAGAAAGCATCCATTGCCCAGTCTCCCGCTGAGCAGGAGGCCAGCAGGAAGATCTGCGCCTGTGAAAAATGGCTGGGGCCTCTGGGTTTCCACGGGCAGCTCTCACGTTTCCTAAGCTCTGCTTTCTCCTGGGGGTTTCATCTGCCCCTTCGGGAGACTTTGACCCTGATGTTGAACTTCACCAATGACCATTCTCACCCTCACGCTTGCCTTCCCCTTCCTCACCCTGTGATGTGCTCTCAACTCCTCAGTGGTCTGTATTGGGCTGTTTTCCATCACCTTTCAGCCTGCATCATTTAGCTCCCCTAGTGTGGAAACTTCCTTAAAGAACATCACTGCTGGTTCTTGTGTCACTCTTACTCTTTAAGAAAGAAAGGGGTTCTCTCTGCAAGTCCCAAATGGGCTCAGCCTGCCTTCCCTTCTCCGGGTCCCATTGGAAACGCAGGACGCTAGTAGGTCAGTAGGTGGCTGAGCCATTCATGAGCTCTTGGCTCTACTGTTTTTTGTGCAAGAAACCCAGTGTCTGTTCATTCTTAAAGGGAAAGCAGTTTCATTTGCAAGGCTCCCTTTCAGACATCCTTGCTCCTGTGTGCTTCCAGAAGCTGTAACCAAGGACCTCTCCGGCCACAGGTTTATGAAGAGGTGGACTCAACATCTGAGCCCCACCTGGAGTATGTGAACTGTTTGCCTGCTGTGGGACAGTATTTAAAGGGTGTGGATGGATGAATGCTTAACAAAAAAGCTATGCCTGATGATTAGGTCCATCTTTCATTCTTTTTTTTTTTAAAATGAAAGAGTTTTATTGCCTTTTCTTTTTCTTGACAGTGAAGTGTTCAGAAATAAAATCTCTGTTGTCCAGTGCTCATAAAATGCAACCAAACTGTGTGTTTGGCCAGAGGCTAGCATAATATATTAAAAGAACGAACTGGAAATAGTAGTATCTGGGACTCATGAAACAGTTCTACATAATTCTCTCCAAGAAAACACACAGTATCCTGTATTTATAATTTCAGTCTGCAGTACCAAGTCAGTCTACCAAATTGTTATTCTCAGAGCTACAAAACTTGGACTACTGCAGGACTAAATATGTATTCAGCATGCCCAAATTACATTTTTCAAAGATAAGATATAAAGCATTATTCTTTTCTAATCATGTAGTTATGCATGGAGAACCAAAGCTTCACTATCTGTACAGGACTTGCCAAAACCTAATGGGAAAACCTCTGGGCGGTGAACTCTGCTACAGTTTTACTGAACCACTTCAAGTTTCCGAGGAAGAAATTTTTCGCGTATCTCAACCCCTCAGCAGAAATACTGACTTCAACATTTTGTACCCTCATGACCAGGCCATCCTGAGTTGCCTCTGTTTCTGGATAACAACAGGAATCAAGTTCTTCTGTTGGGAATAATGCAAGGAGGACCTGCACGGTTCTTTAGGAACCTCCTCTTTGTTCCTAGTTCCACAGGGAGAACTGATAGGCTCTGCTTTGCCAAAAGGCAGGAGAGGTCCAAAGAGGATGCTGCCTTCTCTCTCCTCCTCTGTTAATCCCCAACACCTGTTACAGAATTAACTGACCAAATGAAGTTAATTTCTACTGCATAAACTCAGGTATGTCTGTAGTCCAACAGGTAAGTAGTTAAGTGCTCATTGGTGTTCGGGGAGAGAGAGGGAAGTATCTCCCCCACCAAATACCCGATGAACAGTGCTCAGTTCTGCCTGTGATCCCTTTCTGATGTTCATAGCTACCATTGGCTTTGGGAGCATTGTGCCCAGGCAGGGGAAGCCCTTCTCCATACCCAGGGGCTGGGAGTCACATCTTGGGAGTCACTCTTCTCCCTCCCCCGCCCTGTCCCAGCCTGTCCCACAGAGACAGCCACAGCAGCCTCGTTCTGCAAACTTAACATTTTTCAAATGAACTTCCTGAGAAGGAAGTTATTTATAGGACCCTGGGCCAAACAATTAGTAGCAGAGAGCCATCTAAAGTGATTAAGGCATTCAGGGAAATAAATGAAAATTTTCCTGGCACAGTCAGCACGTATGTTTCACAACAAATCAAAAAATAATTTTCCATTTGGAGAAATGACAATGGCCATGATTGTTAAAGCAGAGACACTTGGACTTCGTGTGTTCCTTCAACAGTTGGTGTTGCTTCTCCAGGGGAGTGGCAGAAGAGGACCCTTTTGCACACCCACCCCGTCCACCCCCAACCGTGGACCTTGGCATTCTTTGCTCAGTTCTCAAAGCAAATACCTGAGCAGTTTCATGTGTATCATGAGTTTGTTTGTATTTCCCAGTGACCAGCCATATACTTCAGTAGCTCTGGTGTTCATGAATTGTAACAGGTCCATATAACCTCTGATCTAGTATTCAAACACTTATGGATGTGATACTATGAAATGTGTTTGATATGATTGTATATGCTTCATAACAAAGTTATTTTTCGTATATGGCTCCACTGTGTTTTGTCTTGACACCCATTCCTGTGGATCAGCTCACCTTTTTAACCAGTTGAACTTGAGGAGATAGGGTGGGGTGCGTTTGTTTTAAACATTGGAATCAACCTGAGTCACCCGCCTCCTGGGGTCTCAATGTGGTCCAAGCATTTGAGTCTAAATGGAGGTGTGAAAGCCCAGGTACCACTGCATCTGGGTCTCAGAGACTCCATTCCCCAGCTATGTGGATCCTCTGGGACCCCAAGGTGGGATTTCTCAAACCAAGAACACTCCAGGGCTCACTGGAGGTGTACCAGGAACCCATGGTATGACTGTTTTCTATTGGTTTTTGCTCTGTTGCAGATTTAGAATTCCATGTGAAATTTCCTTATGGGGTAGGGGAGGCTGTTGACCACCTCAGTGGTGTTAGAGAACTGAGGGGAGCAAGTCCCAAGCACTGGCCACTGAGACCCTCAGCTGGAGAAGAGAGGCAGGGGAGTCTCTCCAGTGGAGCCCTAGGCAGGAGGAACCATATAATAAGGCTCCTAGCCGTCTTCAGTAACCTGAAATTAGCCCCTGTTTGCACATCTCACCTTCACTTAGCGTTGGCCAGTGCCTGGTGCAAGCAGAAAACTGGGGAGTGAAGCAGTCACACTCGCCCACCTCCTGGGGATCTTTGGCAGAAACAGAAAAGGATCTTTCCAGAGAAAATAATGTGATCACATAAATACGCAGTTACAAACCGTGATAGGCACTTTGAAGGAAAGTGCTGGGTGTTAGAAGAGCCAGCAGCCAGCTCCTGCCAACACGACTCCTGCTGGGCTCCCCTGTGAACTCACTCCCTCGCGTTGTCCCCGACGGCAGCCGTGCCAGACCTCAGCGCCCCTCCGAGAGTGCAGCTCTGCGAGTGCTCTGGGTGAAGTGGGGACAGTGAGAACCAGAGAGACCACACATGAGCTCTCCAGCCCTCTGACTTTAACACACTGAGGCGGGGCAAGCACTTCCTTCATGACCTCTTGAAGCCCCACTGGGAAGTTGGTAACATCATGTGCTCCAGTCTCGATGCCAGCAGAACTTGAGGCCTGTTTGTTCCCGACAAGGGTGTGTCAGTCTTTGAAAAGCTGGCTCTGCTTTGGAAACCCAAAACTGAGGAGCGGTGCAGCTCAGCTCCAGGTGTGAATCTGCACAGCCTCATCCGTGTGTGGATGTAAAGTTGCAGGGCGGGCCCCTGAGGTCTGCAGGGATCCGTGGGTGACTGAAGCGGGATTGGTACTTCCAGGAATTGACGGGCATGAGAGGAAGAGAGGCATAGTCATTCCTTAGCCTGTGCTATGAAAATGCCGCCTCCTTGGGTGGCTTACAATGACAGAAATGTGTTCTCCTGCTCTTCTGGAGGGTGGAAATCCAAAGTCCAGGCATGAGCAGGAGGGGTCCAGAAAGCGTCCCATGCCCCCTTCCAGTTTCTGGTGGTCACCCACAACCTTGGTATCCGTTGCTTCCACCGTTCTACTCTTGTGTGTGTGTTGTCACATGGTCTCCAGCACTGTCCCATCTGAGTCCTCTGTATCTCGATGGTAGCTATTGGATCAGGACCTCCCAAATCCAGTATGACCTCTGCAATTTAATTACATCTGCAAAGACCCTATTCCAAATAAAGTCACATTCTGAGGATCCAGGTAGACATGAACTTGAGGGGATGCTAGTCAACATAGATGGAAATTTTCTTCCTGTCCATTGACTTCTCACCCGTAGCGTTTTGTCCAACTTGAAATTCTCATTTACTTCATTCAAAGTTTAAAAAAATATTGAGGGTCAAGGGTGGATGGGTGAACAGTCCAGAATCCCTGGTCTTGGGGAGCACGCTTCTGGTCCAGGAAGTCAGTCATGCCTGACTTGATGGCATCACGTTATGAGCAAGGGCTCATCAGGTGACTTCATTGTCATGTGAACACATAGTGCATGCTTACATAAACTCAGATATGCAGGCACTAGGCAGGGAAAGCTTTCGGGACCACCACTGTGTGTGCAGTGCAGCATGGACTGAGACATTGCTGCTGAGGCACACGGCCTGGTAAGTCTCAGGATTCTCCAGAGAAGCAGAGGCCATGTGCACTTAGAAACCGAGGTTTATTTTAAGGAATTGGCTCACACAACTGTGAAGGCTTGACAAGTCCAAAATGTGCAGGGTGTGTCGGCAGGCTGGAGACCCAGGGAAGAGTGAAGTTCAAGTCCAAAGACTCTCGGCTGGCAGAACTCCTTTTTGTTTGAGGGAGGTCAGTTTTTTCCATTACAGCCTGGACTGGTTGGCTATGAGTCCCACCCACATGGTGGAGCATAATTTCTGTGCTCAAAGTCTGCTAACTTAAATATTTCATATAAAAATTATTTTACAGGGGCATGGAGAATATTTGCCCAAATATCTCGGTGCAGTGGTCTAGCCAAGCTGACTCATAATGTTAACCATGACAATCAATACCAGTGTTGAAATGGAGAAAATCAGGTCAGGTAGAGAGTAAAGGAGAGTAGGAGAATCTACTTTGTGGGGGTGGGGGAGTTCATCAGGAAGACCCTCACTGGCACTGGGGTGGTAGATGAGCAGAGACCTTAATGGAGAAAGAGAGGGAGCCATGTGGTGTGTTGGGAGGAAGTGACAGCAAGATGCCAAGGCGAACCTGCCTACCGTACTCTGGCAGTGGGTTTGATGTGGCTGTAAAAAAATCAGGGAGCAGAGGAGAGGAAATGGATTGGAGAGACAGCCAGAAGTGCCCCACATAAGGACTTTGTACCTAATGAACAGGTGGAGGCGTTGGAAGGGACCATGATAGAAGCAAGGAAACCATTAGGAGACTAGGAGCAGTGTACTTGTTGGTTGACCCTGGACTGTGTTAGCACTTGCTACTACTTGTTCTGATTCCTTGCTAAAGTAGAAATGCCTAGCTTAAGGAGAGAAATTTTGTCTTTTTATTCCCAGTGTCTGCCACAGTAACCAGTGCATGATAGGGGTTGAATAGCTTTATAGTAAGTCTGATTCATTTAACATATTTGCTCTTCACCAAATGCCACTGGGTAGGTACTTTTGTTATTGCCAGTGTCTATACGAGGGGGTCTTCAAAAAGTTCATGGGAAATGCGTATTAGGACAAAACTATGCATGAATTTTGACCCTTTTTTCCTGCAACAAAATTTATCTTTTTAAAAATTATTTGAGAAGCAGAGTTCCCATTTTATGGATGCTCACAACAGCCGAGGCTGGGCTGGAGCCAAAGCTAGGAACTTGGAACTCAATGCTGATCACTCATGTAGGTGGCAGGAACCCATTTAGGAATCCACTGAGCCATCCCTGCTGCCTCCCAAAGTCGACACTGCCAGGAAGCTGGGGTCAGGAACTGGAGCCAGGAACCAAGCCCAGGTGGTCCATGTGGGATGCAAGCATCCCCACTGCTAGGCTAAGCACCTGCCCGTACACTTAATTCCATTGTTCACAAGCTTTTTGAAATATTCTCATACATCCTTTTGTCACAAAGCTAAACCATTTCAGACCAAGGTGTATTTCAGAATAAACATTAACTCACGGTGTCAGTTTGACATGTAGGGTAGGTGTACCGCAAACACGTAGCCACACGTTCTCTCCCCACTTGGGAATCAGTTTCACTGATGGATCCCCAGGGCACAGCAGCTCACACCAAGACAACCGTCCAGACACAAAGCCACTTGCTTCCCCCATTCCAATTTTCTAATATACTCTGGGTTGGAATTTTTTTAAAAGATTTATTATTTTCTTGAAAGAGTTACACAGAAAGAGGAGAGGCAGAGAGAGGGAGATCTTCCATCCGCTGGTTCACTTCCCAGGTGGCAGCAATGGCTGGAGCTGCACTGATCCAAAGCTAGGAGCCAGGAGCTTCTTCCAGGTCTCCCACGTGGGTGAAGGGGCCCAAGGACCTGAGCCATCTTGTACTGCTTTCCCAGGCCGTAGCAGAGAGCCAGATTGGAAGTGGAGCAGCCGGGACACGAACCGGAGCCCATTATGGGATGCCGGCACTGCAGGCTGCAGCCTTACCTGCTACGTCACAGTGCCGGCCCCTGGAATCTTTCTGGCTTTCTGCTATGAGGCAACTGACAAATACATAATGAGACAATTACGATAGTCTTCAGTGGAAGAAAGGAAAGAATACATCTAACAAAGCTAACAACCTTGCTGTTACTTAGTGTCACATGTGGACCAAAGATAACTGGGAGTCAGTACTCAAAAAGAGAAACATAATAGATTGAGTAGCACATCATCTCATTGAAGGAATATGCTATTGAGTGTGTTTTCCTAGAAGGAGTAGGTCACGTATGTCCTTACTACATAGTCATTGATCAACATGAATTTCTGAGAAAGCCTCATGCTGAAAATGAGGTCACAGAAGGAAGCACATTCTAATGCAATGTCTCTGCATCAGGGTTAAGTTAATGAACTTAATTGATGGACTTGATTAAAGAATAAAGCACAAACTACCTTAAGCAGCCAGCCAGGTCATAAAATACACACACATAATTGAAACAAGCTCAAAGATAATTATCCCTTCTATGTAGGATGCACTCATTTTCTCTAATTTTTAAAGTTTTTTTTTGTTTGTTTTGTTTTTTACAGGCAGAGTGGACAGTGAGAGAGAGAGAGAAAGGTCTTCCTTTGCTGTTGGTTCACCCTCCAATGGCCGCCACAGCCAGCGCGCTGCGGCCGGCGCACCGCGCTGATCCGATGGCAGGAGCCAGGTACTTATCCTGGTCTCCCATGGGGTGCAGGGCCCAAGGACTTGGGCCATCCTCCACTGCACTCCCAGGCCACAGCAGAGAGCTGGCCTGGAAGAGGGGCAACCGGGACAGACTCCGGCGCCCCGACCGGGACTAGAACCTGGTATGCCGGCGCCGCAAGGCAGAGGATTAGCCTAGTGAGCCACGGCGCCGGCCATAAAGTTTTTTTTTTTATTTGAAAGAGTTACAGAGAGGTAGAGAGAGAGGTCTTCCATCTGCTGGTTTACTCCCCAGATGGTCACAGTGGCCAAAGTTGAGCTAATCTGAAGCCAGGAGCTTCATTCAGGTCTCCCATGCAGGGGCAGGGGCTCAAGGACCATTCTCTGCTGTCTTCCCAGGCTCATTAGCAGTGAGCTGAATCTGAAGTGCAGCAGCCAGGACTCAAACTGATGCCCATATTGGATGCCAGCACTGCCTCTAATTTTTAATAGTGGTCACAACCACTAAATTGGTTCTTTCTGATTTACTAATGAGTGCAGCCCTCAGTTTGAAAACCAATTGTGGGACCTGCATTGTGGTGCAGGAGGTGAAGCCACATCCCATACCGTGCATCCCATATGACCACCAGTTCAAGTCCCAGCTGCTCCACTTCTCATCCAGCTCCCTGCTAATGCATCTGGAAAAGCAGCAGAAGATGGCCCAAGTACCTGGCTCCCTACCACCCATGTAGGAGACCTGGATGGAGTTTCTGACTCCTGGCTTCAACCTAGCCTGGTCCCAGCTGTTGCAACCATTTGAGAAGTAATCCAGTGGATCAAACATCTCTCTATCCCTCTCTGTCTCTCTCTCTCTCTCTCTCTCTCTCTCTCTCTCTCTCTGTGACTCTGCTTTTCAAATAAATAAATCTTTAAAAAAAACTTGTTTATATCAGTATTTCTCAAACTTTACTGTACATGTGAATCATCAGAAGATTTTATGAAAATGAAGATTCTAGGCATGTGTTATGGTGCGGCAGGTTAAGCTCCAGTTGGGACGTCCCCATCCCCCATTGGAGTGCCTGAGATCCAGTCCTTCCTCCACTTCCAACCCAGCTCCCTGCTGGTGTGCACCTGGGAGGCTGCAGATGCTGGTTCAGGTGCTCCCACATGGTGTTGATGCTGCTGTTCTGTGAACCACACCGTGAGTAGCAGACCTGGCCCTCATGCAGGGCAGTCTGCTGTGGACTTTGGAAAAAGGTAAGAGAGATTTTTATTAACTTAGAACTCTGACAAGGGTCAGGATTTCACGTATGTCTATTGTGTCATTTACTCAGGTTCTTGTTTCACCTGCTAGTAATTTTTAAAAATTTATTTGAAAGGCAGAGAGCGGTCTCCCATTCATTGGTTCACTTCCCAAATGTCCAAAACAGCTGAGATTGGGTGAGGCCAGAGCCAGGAGCCAGGAATTCAATCTAGGTCTCCCATGAGGGTGGCAGGAACCCAACTGCTTGAGCCATCACCTGCTGCCTCCCAGGGTGTGCACTAGCAGGAATCGAATCGGGAGCAGAGCTGGGCTTGAACCCAGACACTCTGACACAGGATGCTGTCATCCTAAATGGCACCTTCGCCACAGCAGCAAATCCCATTCCCCTTTTTCTTTTAAATAGAGTTTCCCAGGAAAATGGCACATTGTAAGATGAAACCATTAAATAAATCTTGCCTCTCCATTAATATCTTCACAGTAATCAAGTTGCTAGCTAGATGAGGAGGAAAGAAAATATCTAAAAGAAATAAGGAAGGTAGGGGAAACTTGACAGAGGCGAGCATCAGCTTTGCTCACTCTATCGGCTCCCTCTGCAGCCTGGGCCCTGGCCCTGCCACAGGCTGCTGCTGTTTTGTTGGCTTCTTCCCGAGCATGGAGCAGACGCACAGTCCATGCTGCAGCTTCACCAACTCTCCCTGTGCGATGTGGTTTCCCCCACACTCCCGGAAATCCAAGACTCTGATTCTTGTTCCTTCCTGGCGAGGTGACAACATGTTCTGAATTCTCACTTTTCCTCTGGTCTACTTCCTGTGGCTTTTTATCCTTTTTCCTTCTCTAACATCACTACCAACCACACAGGGAATGGGAGCTGGGTGGGAAGATCATTAAACCAGAAGGAAATGCATATCAATGGAGTCTTATTTTGCTTTATAAATAGTCTTTGTGATGTTTGAGGGTGGCTTGGTTTCAGAAGTCAGGTCATTTTTGTTGGTTTTTTTTTTTTTTTCCACAACTATAACTAATGGATATTCTTAGTTCTGTCTTCCCCCAAAAATATATAATCATGGACCTACCTGGCCATGGAGACAACCGTTAACCTGTCACCTCCAGCATCCTGGAGATGGAACACGGCATCTTGGTGGGCTGCTGTCACGCCATGGGTCTGAAGGACTATGTGACGTGGAAGCAGTACCTCTGGCGTGTATGGACTTTCCATTGTCCTACAATTCAGTAAACGGCCAAGACCAACAGAACAAACGTAGACTGCTGAGAGCCATGGGTAGGTAACTCGCCTTTTGAAACAATCTGGTAAAGAAAAATGTGCCACAAATCGAATTAGGCTCAGGTGATTCAGAAGGGAAATAACAGCTGTGAAACATTTCAAAAAGAGGTCCCTCTGCCGGCGCCCCGGCTCACTTGGCTAATCCTCCGCCTTGCGGCGCTGGCACACCGGGTTCTAGTCCCAGTTGGGGCGCCGGATTCTGTCCCGGTTGCTCCTCTTCCAGTCCAGCTCTCTGCTGTGGCCCGGGAAGGCAGTGGAGGATGGCCCAAGTCCTTGGGCCCTGCACCCGCATGGGAGACCTGGAGGAAGCTCCTGGCTTCGGATCGGCGCAGCGCACCAGCTGTGGCAGCCATTTGGTGTTTGAACCAACGGAAGGAAAACCTTTTTCTCTGTCTCTCTCTCACTGTCTAACCCTGCCTGTCAAATGCTGGCGGCCGCTGGGTTACTGGTGCTAACAAATATGGAGGTCCCTCTGAACAGTCTTCCAAGGACAGCAGCCAAATACTTTTTTCTTCTTCTAGGGCTTACTCTGGAGCTGTAGACTGCTGAGATCAACGCCACCAGCCAGACTGACGTGTGCTCTGAGTGTAAGCATTCATGTGGGGTGCGGTGCAGCCTTGGTGTTGGTACCACCTGATGTGACTGTTCCAAGCCAACCACCTTAGCTCTGGGGTGTGGGCATTCCCAAGCCACAGAGGGACCTGTGTACCATGTGGCCCACACAGAGGAAGCCCTCTGTTCTAGCCAGTCTTCACTGATCAGTCAGCAGCTTTGTGACACCCTCGGTCTTCCTCTGCTCACCCCGATCACTGGACCCAAGGCTCCATGTTGGTGGCCCCCAGGGGTCAGGTAGAATGTGGGGGTGGCTGCCGTGCTGTCCCCGTACCTGTTTTACAGAAATCCAGGAGCTTCTGTCGCCCAGGCAATCTGTTTTATTCTTGCCTTTTATTTGATTCCAGAAAGCACCAGTGAGACCAGAGAATCCTTCCCCGGTCCTCAGGGTAAGTCGCCCCGGGCTCTTTCAGGGGTTAAGGGTGGTATGGAGCATCTAGGGGGCATGGAAGGGGCTGAGGCAGTGTCCTCTCGGGGAGTGAGGAGTCTACAACCTGCAGCCCCTAACCCCTCACCTCCGGTGCCCACCTCTTTGTGTGCCTCCCTTCTTTGGGACCGCCGGGCCACAGCTTACAGTCACAAGGGCGGCACCATCCATCAGCCAGCAGGTGCTTGGAGGAGTTACTCACTTGACCCCATCTGAAGACCCAAATAGAGCTGTGCTGAGGTGTCGCTCCCCCTCTTCGTGGAGGAACGACACAGGACCCTGCGCTGTTCTTTCGTCTGCTCGGCCCTCCCCGGGTTTGCTGCTGGTTCTTCCCGGGTTGGCTACCGTCCCTTCCACCTCCGTGGAAGGGCGGTTCCCCCTGCCACATTCCCCACTTCCGCGGGGGAGCGACACACCGCCGGCCGGCTCTCTCGGGGGCTGCACAGGTGTTCCTTCATATAGATGTTCCCCTTAGATGTTCCTGGTGCATGCCATCTCTCTCCTCCTTTATAGTCCTCTTCCACCAATCCCAACTCTGCTACCCACACGCCGAGTACGCTGCTCTCCTCCAATCAGGAGCAGGTCCCACAGTCTATTGGTTGAACTGGAGGCAGCTGTGTAGAAGCTGTTTCTCCCTTCTCAGCGCCATATTGTGGGAGAGCAGATGCAGAGAATAAGTCTTAATTCCAGTAACTTAGTCTAGTCCGAGTTGCTCCCCACACTGAGGGAACTGGCGAGATGTCACGAGGAGGGAGAAGCGGAATCAGCCTCAGAGCTCAACTTGGCCATGGCCGTTTCAGGGGGAGAGTGTGCAGCTGAAGAGAAGCTAAGACCTCTGTGGGTTTTGTTACCTCAAACACACCTCCTCCTCCAGTGCAATGAGCGTTCTCTCCACTGACTTTCATGGTGAATTTCGGCATTTCTGAGTCAACTCCAGTGCTGCCTGGGTGACCCTCATGCCACACGGAAGACCTGAAGACTTGAATTCCAGCTCATCTGCAACAGTTCCGGCCAGGGCTGTGCCCAGGTAGGAGGTGTACCAGGGGCTTTCCTCCATCTCCCACCCCGCTGCTCACTTCAAAGACAGGGTCCTTGCTTTATCCCAGGTTTTGTTTGTAGGTGGCCATGCTAATCCACCTCCCACCCCTAGTAGTTGGTGCACATTAAGAGCTCAGAAAAGGTTAGCGGGATGCTAGAAATGGTTAAGGAGATAGCCACCAGTGGTTCCTGCTCCTGATTCACTATTCAGCAAATATGCATTGAGTATATTCTTCATAACATACCCTGAGGTCAACACTGGGAAAATAAGATACCAAGTCCAGGGATGGCTGCTGGACATGGCAGCTAAGACAGCCACATCTGGGGCAGGTGTTGTGGCTTCTTGGGATGCCCACATCCTGTGTGGAGTGCTGCTCTGAGTCCCAGTGATGCTGCTTCCAATCTAGCTCTCTGCTACTGCCCCCGGGGAAGCAGAAGATGATGGCTCAAGTAGTTGAGTCCCTGCCACCCATGGGTGCACCCTGGGCAACAAGACGAGGCCTCCTGCATGCTTCTCCACTTCCCTCTGCTGCCCCAAGCCTGTACTTGCGTGTGGGTTTAGCTACCTGCAAGGGCTTCCCAGAAAACAGAATTTTCCTAGTGAGTCAAGATTATATTTTTTACCCAAAAGTGAGGGCAAAATGCACTAGGAATCCCACCTTCTAATGCAAGCCTCATTGGATAATTTGGGAGCAGCAGCTCCCTCCAGAGCTGTGCCTCTCCCACCTGCCACCATCTGGATGCAGCTGGGGTTTGTCCCCAGGGAAGCTTGGTCCTGAAGGTGCCGAGGTTGGGAGGTGGGGGTCTGTAAGAGACAGAGCCTCACAGGAAGTCTTCACTGGGGATGTTGCCTGCAGAGGGGATCCTGGGACCTGGGGCTCTCTCAGGCCTCCTGTCTTGCCGTGTGACCGCCTCCTTCCACACATGCCAATCACTGTCAGGCCCTTGCCTCCAACACTGTGAGCTGAACAAACCTCTTTTCTTTATAGTTAGCCTGTCCCAGGTACTTCATTTAGTAACAGAAATGAACTCATGCATCACCCAACCCCAGCCTGTGGGAGAAGATGGGGAGAGGTGTAGACAGCCTCAGAATATGGTGTTCTTGGTGACAAGCCCTAGCCAATAGGAAGAGGAGGGTTCTACCCATCCCCAGAGCCAAGGGCAAGGGCACCAGAGGATAACCTGCAGCAATCCGGGGTCTTGTTCTCTGGCCGGGTGAGCACTGAGCTGCAGGTGTCACAGTGGTGTTTGCCACTGCAGCAAGGCCTGGCATGAGCATTTCTGGGGGGGTGGCGAGGGGTGCTCTTGGCTTCCTGAGTGTGGTTTGCCCTCCTTTTTGGCATACTTCCCTCTGACCTTAGGGGACACGTGTGCCCTAGAGGGGACATGCTTACGCTGAGACCAGCACCTGCTCCGGGGGAGTAGCCTTTTCCGTGCATCTTAAAGGGACCGTGAGTGACTGCCCTGGAAAGCAGATGGGACAGCCCTGGGCAGGGGGACCTGCCTGTGTGTGAAAGGGCACCGAGGAGGGGGAAGGCTGGGAGTCACTCACTCTGACACCTGACAGCCACCAAAGCTGACCCTCTGCTTCCTGCCTCTCTCCAGCCCCACACAAGTTTGAATTAGGAGAGCAGTCTCTGAACCAGGCCCTACCTTCAGTCAGACAGCCAGGACACAGCCCTAACCTCTATGAGGTTGGAAGCAGGGAAAAGCCAAGTTCAAGTTTTTACAAAGAATAGGACTTGGTCTTAAACCTCAGAGGTGACTATTGAAACTTAAAACATGGACAAGATTTCATGGAAGGAGCCAGAGCCAGTACTGAAAAGGAAACCAGGAGGATTCAAGAAAAGTTAAAAACCTGCCCCTTCCCCTGCCCCTTCCCTGCCCCTGCCCTGCCCTACCCTGCCCCTGCCCCTGCCTAATTAGGGCTTTCCAGTAAGCCAGTTAGAGGTGAGATGTATTTCTCACCTGTACTTACAAGTCCACCTTATATTGCCTGAATTATTACTTCAATATGACTTTTAGTGATTTCTGGATTATTTTTCTTTAAAAACATTGTTTCAGGGCAGGTGCCCATGAGGCTGTGCACCTCAGCAGGTGCACACACACCTGTGTGCGCATGTGGCCTCCTGCTGCCTTGAGAACCGTCTGCCAGAGCCCTGCTGTGCTGTCAGAAGAAAGACGTCTCTGCCATACCTGCTGCGGTGTTGCACAAAAAATGCTGCCCTGGGGAACAGGTGTGAGGAAGCGCAGGCATCGCAAGGGTCTTCACCTGTCAGAGGAAAGGGCAAATGGCAGATGTGCACTGCAAGCTGAATGTTGGGGTCACTTCGTTTCAAAATGGGAGGGAGGGAGAAGCACATGCATGTGAGGATTTATCCGCAGTGAGGCACAGTTCTTGGACCTCAAGCCGAAAATCAAAGCACCCTGTTGGCCAGGGGGATGTGCAAATTATTATCCATGAGATGACTCATTGGAGGGCAAGCAGGTGGACAGGTGGGAGGGGAAAAAAGCAAAATGATGTTGGGGGGCAGGTTTATCTAATCCTGACTTGTGAGTGTGTGGAGGTCAGTTCATAACATCATTAACACACTTCATAAGGTTTCTATGATTTTAAAAACTTAACATTTATGTAAAACAGTATGATGCCTGTTGCAGGATCTCTTTAGAATAGCCCCATGGGGTAGGGAGGGTGGATGAGAATGCAGACAAAACAGCATTGTGTGTGTATCGATCATTGTGAAGTCCGATTGAGGTATACATGGGTGTTCGCATTGCTGTGGTCTGAACGCATTCTCCTAAAATCCATGAGCTGGAACCCTCATCCTCAAGGTGGTGTACTGGGAAGTAACTGGGGAGGAATCGAGTCCTGAAGTCCACAAACAGCATTAATGCCCTTATTTAAAAATAAAAAAAAGGAGGAGGGGCCGAGGGCCACCTGCCCCTGCCCTGTGCACTGTGTGGGGGATACAGCAAGAAGCAATTTGCAAAGGAATCTATTGCAGTGGTTTTTTCAAAATCTTCGTGAGGATTCTGTCTACATGTATCCTCTCGCATCTGTGTGCGCTGTATAAACCCACGTGTGGAACTCCTCAGTGGCAGGCAGTCCACAGTTAATTTAGGGCTGTGTTTACAGGTCCAATATGACTTGTTCTCTGTCTCTCCTCCAGCTCTCCATTAAGGAACCACAGCTGGGGACCAGGCAGAACTCTGCCCAGCAGTAGCTTTGGAGCCACAGATAGGTTACCTAACGGCTGTCTAAGCTTCCGATGCCACGTGCCTAAGAGTCAGAATAGCAGGTTGGTGTGTGGCACAGCAGGTTAAGCTGCTGCCTGGGACCACGGCATTCCCATATCAGAGTGCTAGGACTCAGTCCCACCTCTGCCTCCGATCCAGCTTCCTGCTCATGGTCCTGGAGGGCCACAGCTGGTGGCTTGGGTACTTGGGTACTTGAGATACCTGGATGCAGTTCCAGGATCCTGGCTTCAGCACAGCCCACCTCTGGATGTTGCAGGCATCTCGGAAATTCTCTCTCTCTTTCCTTGGCACTATGTCTTTCAAATAACTGAACAAACTTTTTAAACAAAAATAAGTATAGCACCAATTTCAAAAGTTTGCTATGCTGAATAAGACATTAAAAGTAAGTGACCCAACAGTGTCAACTTATACAGTAGTTAGCGGAAGGCCTTGCCGAAGTTAAGCGCACCACTTAAGAATGGTGTGATCGCGGCACCGCGGCTCACTAGGCTAATCCTCCGCCTTGCGGCGCCGGCACACCGGGTTCTAGTCCCGGTCTGGGCGCCGGATTCTGTCCCGGTTGCCCCTCTTCCAGGCCAGCTCTCTGCTGTGGCCAGGGAGTGCAGTGGAGGATGGCCCAAGTGCTTGGGTCCTGCAACCCATGGGAGACCAGGATAAGCACCTGGATTCTGCCTTCGGATCAGCGCGGTGCGCCGGCTGTGGCGGCCACTGGAGGCTGAACCAACGGCAAAGGAAGACCTTTCTCTCTCTTTCTCTCTGTCTCTCTCTCTCTCACTGTCCACTCTGCCTATGAAAAAAAAAAGAAGAATGGTGTGAACCTGAGCAAAGTCATTCAACCTCTGCGTCTCCTTCTCCTTCTCCGTGATAAGTGGATAATAGCATTTTCCTTAGTAGGTTGTGCGGGATAGTTCTCCCCTCTTTACCCACGGCAGCGTCTCCTGCATGTCCCAGAGGGTTCGGCAGGGGGCGCACTTGAGCCGCAGCGCCGGGGCCTGAGTTGCACGCACTAGGGACCGCCGTCCTCAGGCAAGGCAGCGGCCCAGACACCAGGCGGCAACAGCGGCGTTGCAGAACACACAGAGACTTTGCTTAGACCCTGAGCCGCCCTGAGGCTCCTGGGATGTGAGGGCTTTTTCCGTCGTGGAAGGCAGTGGAGCTGGGGGTCTGTTGTCTGCCTGTCTCAGAGGATTCCTTGGGGCCCCAGTCCTTGCGCAGGGTGCATTCTGTCTGTCAGGAGGACTCTAAGTACCTGGGTTAAGGGAGCTGCTTCCATTTTTGGTATTGTGGAGAGGATGTGTGGACTCCTCATCTTCGCTGGTGCAGACAGCATACGAGGCTGGGGCAGGATCGTAGGGGCAGCTCCTGATGCAGGGCCACCCTCCCCACGCCAGTCCTCAGACCTGCCTGAGTTTCCATCCCGAATCCAGCAGCCGTGGCTGGCGCATCCTGCACCTGACAGCTACCTTGGTCCCAGACTAACAACACACAGGTGTGGGATTGAGGTCGGGACACAGCAGGTGGAGCGCTTCAGGGTCTCCACAGCACCAGGACAGACTGTAGTGGCTTCCATATGATCCCAACAGCAGGGTTGCTGGGAGGTTGCAAGTCCAATTGGAACAGCGCCTCTCAACCCCGCCGCACCTAACGTCCTCCTTGTAATAAATATTAGATAAATCCAAGAGCCCTGCAGTACCCGGAAATGAAATGCACAGATACCTCGATTTATCAACACAAAATATTTTGCTCAGTCTAACATCCCACCAGTAATACCAACAACAGCAAGGGCATTGTAGGGAAGTCAAGCTTATTGATGCTGAGATGAGACTGCAGCAGACAGCACCAGGAAGTGGTCCGATAACTGTGCCTGTTTGTGAAGTCATCCTAAAGAGAGGGCTGTCGTCCACAGCGGCTGTGCGCAAAGGAAGGGAGGGGTAGACTTGCATTTCGTTGCAACTTCCCCCAGAGTCGTTTGCACGATGCAGAGGGACAGGGTGTGAAATGCACCTCAAGGTGCCCAAGTCTACCAACACTTACTCATTACCTCACCGATCATTTCATGAGATTCCGTTTTTCTTTCCTCTTTCTTCCAGTAGCCTATGGTGCGATTGTAATAGTTTCATATTAATAGAAATGCATTTAGTAAGCGCACGAGTGCAGTTACCTGGCTTAAATATTGCACTCTAGAGAAGTGGGCTTTTGTTTTAACAATAGCACGAGGGGACTGGTGGTGTGGCACGATGGGTCAAGCCACTGCTTGGGATGCCTCTGTCCCATAGCTGAGTGCCTGGTTCCATCAGGGCTCCTCTGCTTCCAATCCAGCTTCCTGCTAACGCGCATCCTGGGGGGCAGCAGATGATGGCATAGGGGTTTGTGTCCCTGCCCCCCAGATGGGAGACCCGGATGGAGTTCCAGGCCTCTGGCTTCAGCCTGGCCCAGCTGTGGCTGTTGTAGGCATTGGGGGTGAACTAGCAAATGGAACATTCTCTCCCTCTCCCTCTCCCTCTCCCTCCCTCTCTTTCCCTCTCCCTTCCTCTCCCTCTCCTTCCCTCTCCCTCCCTCTCCCTCTCTCCCTCTCCCTCCCTTCCTCTCCCTCCCTCTCCCTCCCTCTCCCTCCCTCCTCTCCCTCTCCCTCTCCCTCTCCTCCCTCTCCCTCTCCCTCCCTCTCTCTCCCTCTCCCTTCCTCTCCCTCTCCTTCCCTCTCCCTCCCTCTCCCTCTCTCCCTCTCCCTCCCTTCCTCTCCCTCCCTCTCCCTCCCTCTCCCTCCCTCTCCCTCCCTCTCCCTCTCCCTCTCCCTCCCTCTCCCTCTCCCTCCCTCTCTCTCCCTCTCCTTCCCTCTCCCTCCCTCTCCCTCTCTCCCTCTCCCTCCCTTCCTCTCCCTCCCTCTCCCTCCCTCTCCCTCCCTCTCCCTCCCTCTCCCTCTCCCTCTCCCTCCCTCTCCCTCTCCCTCCCTCTCTCTCCCTCTCCTTCCCTCTCCCTCCCTCTCCCTCTCTCTCCCTCTCCCTCTCTCCCTCTCTCTCCCTCTCTCTCCCTTCCTCTCCCTCCCTCTCTCTCCCTCTCTCTCCCTTCCTCTCCCTCCCTCTCTCTCCCTCTCCCTCTCCCTCTCTCTCTCTTCCTCTCCCTTCCTCTCCCTCTCTCTCCCTATCCTTCCCTCTCCCCCTCTTCCTTCCTCTCTCCCTCTATCCCTCTCCCCACCCCCAGCCTTTCAAATAAGTAAAAAACATTCTTTAAAAAAGAATTCTGTAAGGTTGCAGGCTCCTCTTTCTGAGCAGTTCTCACGATGGAGGATGAAGCTACTTCAGTATGCATTGGCGATTGTGGATTCTCAGGAAATCTGAAAATTTCATTGATTTTTTTGTCTTTGAGCGATTATTTATTTTTGTACTACATATACCGTGTACTGTGTCAGTTGGAGATCTTCTGAGAAGCTGATGTGAAGACAGACCTCAATGTAGGCAGATTAGGGAAAAGGTCTGCACAGGGTGGAGGTGGGGAGAATGGGCAAGAGACCAAGAACTGGGAGAGCGGTGGAGCCGTGCAGGTGTAACCCAAGTACTGGTTCCTGTGATTAGACAGCTAATTAAATATTGACCAAATCTTTCCAAAGGAGTACTTAACAAAAGACTCCTCC